GTGAGCCTAATTCACCCTCGGTTTCGTTGCTCGAAAGGGTCCGTCACCTGAAAAATGGCCAGCTGGTTGAGCGATGTGAACCTTCTGGTTTGTGCCCATATCCTAGTCATGGAAGCAGACAACTTTCGGATGTGCAAGAACGTGCCTTTGGTTTTTCCACTTCCATCTGTTTAGGAAGGAGTTGGAAGCAGGTTGATTCGTATTTTACTTGGAACCTCAAATAGGAACAAATTATTTATTATTGCAGTTGTTCGCTCGTTTGGGCAGAAATTCCTGAGCATGCGCGGAGGCGCAACTTATTTCAACCAGCTCTGGTTCCGGTGGAAAAGTATAGCGAATGCTGGGACATCTGCGGGAAATACGCATGCAGACATCTGAGGGAAAGTTGCGGCAATGTACGGGACATGCGCGCGGAAATCCGTACCGCCAAAACCGAGTTTTCCACGCTTTGGTTGCTGGGAGCCATTACGAAGAGCGAAGAGGATTGGAAGTTTTTGCGGCTTTGGTGTCGGAACAAGCGTTTTTGACCAGCATGAGCGTTTTGGTTGTGGAAAATGGTTCCTTTAGAGTGTCCAGCTATTTGTTTCGCGCAACAGCTGGCTTACGAGGAATGGGCGTGATCGGTTCTCAGCCAGTTCTCAGCCAGTTCTTGATTCTAGCCAGTTTGAACTCGACAACCTAAAGATCCATTGTGATTGTTGTTGTTTCCTCGTATTGTCAAAAACCTTACCTATTGTATGTGTATCGTCACGTCAATGTGGTGAAACCAAACACGCGAAGGGGCTTGTTGGGATTCTTAGATCGATTGATCATGGGATGCGCTCATATTGCGGGGGCAACGTGTCGCATGGCGGGAATCAAAAAAGATCTCCAAACTTTTGGTGACTGCACCTTTGAGCCTGGTTGGCCAGCTCTTGCCATAGAAATAGAGACTACACAACGTGAGAGCCATGTGAATGATGTGCAGGAGGATCTGCGCTCAAGATTGCCGCCCCCATTGCTTCAACCGTCAGTTGACATTTGTGCCATGGCCCGCACAACTCGCCTGGTCTTCCTCTTCCTCGCACTCACAGGCACAGTTACGGAACATGTTGGATCTGAAAATATTATACTTCTGGTGATGTTGCTAAAGTGATAATTTGTTTCACCACCATGATTCATGTCGCAAGTGTCGTGGCCATTTTCCACAGCACACTATTGAGGAGCGGGGTTCCTTTCAGAAACCTCATCCTGAAGGTGTCTTCTTATGGGCCGTTGTTCTTGGGCGTGGAGAGAAAGCCACAAGTTTTCTGCGAAACTTTCGGAGAGGCGAAGGCGGCAACCTTTTGTTGGGGGGGTTGCCTCAAAAGGATACCATAGCTCAATGGTTGAAACTCAAGCCTGGTTTGTGTACCTCACGTTAAATCGCAACGTGTTATAATTTAGTTATAATCATGTTGCTGAGGGAATCCATCCCAGAGGTAGACCTCAAGTGAACATAGGCGTTCTCAACATTTGAGCATTCTGAGGGTGTCTTGGATGTCACTTCAATGGCAGTGTGTTGCTCCTATTTCAACTCCCTTCAATGAAAGCCAGGAGGGACCTTTCAAAGTGAACATGTTGAGGAGTTCTCGAAATTATTACTGTACCTTGTTAGCTGGTTTTCCCTCAAACGAAGAGGTCTCCTATTTCCTCCCCCTTGAATTGAAGCCAGGAGTGTGGAAGACCGCTTTCCTGTTGGGGCAGCCCCCTGTCCATTTGGACCAAGAGCCACGGCTCGCAGGGGCCTCGGTCTTCGCCTCTCCGACGAGATCGCAGATCCCCGGGGGCTGGACGCCGCAGCGGAAGCCTGCGGCGGAGGATCTGGCGGTGTGGGACAAAGTCACCAAGGATGGCCGGGTCTCAACATGCTGGCAAGCCCAGCCATCCGGTTTTTGAGGCTTCTGAGGTGTTTTTTTTGGTCGTGTTTGGTGGTGGGGGATTTCCAGGGATTTACCAAGGACTGCGATCTGCTTGGGAAGCTGTGTACACTGAAGTATGCTCCCGTGTTTAGCGGGGAAATGAGTCATTTTAGGGGGAAGCTCCTTTGATTGCTATGGTCCTCCGGCCATGTATGTGTATATTATATATATATATGTACGTATTGAGACAGATGTAACATGTCAAACAAATGTGCATACATGTCTACAGATATATCGAGCTTTGGAAGCGATGGAAGTCTCGACCCTGTTCGCGCGGGAATATTTGCCTCCCGATGACAACCCTGGTCCAGCTACGGCGTTTTTGTTACTTTTGCAAGATACTGGTTCACCCTCAAGGTCGCTGATGGAATCCACCTACATTTAACTCTGTCTGTTTGGTTGAACACGTCTGGACCCGCCTGCCAGTCACTTTCCGATACCAAGGGAAACTGTCCTGAAAGTGATAAGGTTTGGACCCTGCCCCAAACACTAGCAGTCAACACAATTTGGAAGACTGTTTTCGAGGTGGTTGATCCAAGTTTTGATCATCCAAGGTAGTCATATCCAAGGTAGTCATTATAACCTAATCAGATCGGAAGTCACCACTTTGGTGTCAGAAAAGGGACAAATTCCACAAGGATGAACGCGTAGGCAGGCTCGGGCAGCGACGTTGGCAAGAGCTGGGCCCGGAAAGGAGGTAGGTTTTGAACAATGTCGGCTTAAACGTGTTTAAACAAGGGGCTCGGTCGGCCCAACCCTTCGAGGAGCTGAATACCGGCTTGACATCCATGGGAGAGCCCAGCACCGTTGAGACACAGGTGGTATCGGGCATGAAGTACAAGTTCAGCTTCGACAACGGCGATCAGGTGCACCCCATGGAAATCTGCGTTTTTGGTTTGGACGTTAGACCCATTGTTTTTGCTGGGGTCCCTTTTGGAATGGGGTCTCTCGGATCTTGTTTTTGTGTTTGATGTTTGGCTCAAATTGACTCTCCACCCCCCCCCCCCCAACAAAAAGAGCAAGGGGTGTCACGTTGCCTCTCTATGTCTCAGAATCACTTGGTGTAACGTTGAGCCCGCAAACGTCAACTTGGCAGAGGGGGGGCTCCGCCAAAAGTGAAGGGACACCCCTATGCAGTCGGACCCCTTATCCCTGATTGATCAAGCAGTTGAGTAGTCCCGGAATCCGAAACATTTTGTTCCGATACAAACTAAGACTTCGGATTCTGAGGCTGGTCCAAATGCATCCTGCTTACCCCTACAAGCCCTGGGGATTGTATGCAGAACCCGCAACCCCGGTTTCCGTACCACACCCCGAGTTGCTCTCGGGGTGTCAAAGGGACATATTTTGAGGCCCCAAATTCCATCAGGATCCTTAGAGTAATAAAATCGTCCAGTCGCCGCTTGGTTGTTCAAGAACTTTTTGTACAGTCATCAATGCTAAGGATCCCTATCGAGACGCAGGAACACACTCCGCATGGTTCGGCATTTGTTTCTGTGCCACTTTGGGTTGCAACAACCGGGGGGGGGGGGGGGCGGTGGTGGGGGGAAAGCAGCTTCATTCAAGAATGAACACAGTTTGCAGGGCTTGTGAATCATGATCCCTCCCAGAGGGCCTAATCTTTGCAAGAGCAGCAAGCAAGTCGCTTGCCCTGCTGAGCTGACGTGTAAAGCAAAGTTCTTGAACAAACAAAAAGGCCCTGCAAACGCAGCAGATGGATTGAAGCAGTACTTCGCTGAACCTGTCGAAAACCAGGGTGTCGCAACATTGAGGGGTAAATGAAAACACTGTCCTCTTAGCTGTTCGTTGCTCCTGAGTTTTGCTTCAGGTTCGGGTTGAGCCCTTGACTTTCCTTTTTGGGATTTGACGTAGGAGGTGTGTGCGTGTGTTTATGGTGTGTGTGTGTGTGTATGTATTTGCGCTTGTTGAGTTTGCACCCTTTGGAGGTTGGGGATAAGTTAAACGGGAACCGAAGCCCATCTTCGGGCGCTCTTGAGAGAATCCCATGGCAGGTCACTGTGTGGTCGCAGCCATGGCTCGACAAGCTTGTGGTGGTGAATGTGCACCAGACAGAGCCCTGAGCACCAGATAGAGAGAGCTTCCGGCTGTACAGATGTCCAGAAGCTCCAGAGGGCCTGAGCCCTGAGCCAGGAGGACCGCTCTGTCTGGCCCCTCGTACAGATGGCCAAGCACAGAGCGCCCTATCTCCAAACTTGGTGCTTGGGCGGGTAACTGGAAACACGAACGTATTTTGCGGCCCGAGCCAAGTTTGGATCATGTCCAGAAACAAATCTCAGGGCCTCGTGGCAGTCACCCAAATGCTAAGCGGCATTTGGATGCAGTTGGTTCATTTGGCAGTTCGCTCGCCATGCAACATGAACCTGATTCGCCCTCGGTTTTGTGGCTCGAAAAGGTCCGTCAACTGTGGCCCAGCCGGATGAACGATTTGACCTTCTCTTTAGTGCCTATATCCCAGTCGTGCAAGCTCACAACTTTCGGGTGTGAAAGAGGGTGTCTTTGACTTTGCACTTCCATCTATTTTGAAAGGGATTTGAAGTATAGGTTGATTCATGTATATGTGTATAGTTGTTTCACGCAAGCTGGCTTACGAGAATTGGGCGTGATCCATCAATTGTCTCCAGTTCTCGGCGAGTTTTCGATTTGAGCCAGTTTGATTTCGACAACCAGTGTGATTGTTGTGGTTCCCTCGTATTGTCAAAAACCCTTACGTATTGTATGTGTAGTTATTATCGTTACGTCAAAGTGGTTCACCAAGAATGAGGAGGTGGTAGTTGGAGTTTGAATGCTTGATGTGCCTGAATTTGTCAATGAGATGGGTTGCCCATGAGATATGAGGGGGGGGTACTGTACCTGGCATAGTAGGAAACAAAGAACACCTCCAGACTTTTGGTTATTGCCACCTTTGAGCCGTGATTGGCCAGTCCTTGCTGCAGAAACTGCACAACATGTGAGAGTTATGTGAATGACGTGCGGAGGATCTGTGCTCAAGATTGCCGCCCCCTTCCTTCAACCGTCAGTTGAACCCGTGACATTTGTGCCATGGCCCGCACAACTCGCCTGGTCTTCCTCTTCCTCGCACTCACAGGCATGGTGGCGGAAAACTCGAGCGATACTTTTGGGGATGTTGTTTGCAAAGCGACAAAGAAGGCGTAGTCATTCCCTGCGAGTCATCGTCCTTTAAACCAAAGGATGGTTCCAGTTGACGTTTGTTTGCATTGCGTGACCAGTTTTTGCCGTGAACGGCCTTTTTTCTGCAACTTGAGGCTCCTGACACTGGGGTCCCATGGTGGGAATTGCAAGGAAAGACAATGTTCTAAACCAGTGGAACAGCTTGTAGTCTTGGGAAATCTTACGGTAGAGCTGGGGCAATATGAAACTACCGTGAAACTACCGTGAAACTGCCATGAACGGCTTTCTGCTAGCGTGAGCGATCTTGTCCTAGTTTCAATGATGCGGCCACAGTCCCTTCGGGCATGACCGGGCATGATACGACCGTCATGGGGTCTCAGAAATGCACAGAGCCACAGATGCGCAGTTGGACGACCACCCTCAAAACAGGGACCGACAGCAAAGATAGGTCTTTGTGAGACTGTTTGTTCAATTTTTTGGACATTGAGATGGGATCGCCTCCACGATCAACCATCCGCAACCAACTCGGGCCAAGCGGGTACAGGTGCCCTTCCCTATGAAGGTGGCTCGTCATGTTTTATCTCAGGTTGGTGATTTGTTATTCTCCACCCATATGACGTTTGGACTTGCTCAACTACTGGCAAGGGCGGCATATCTTTCTTGAGGCTCGGCGCCCTTGTGAGGGTTGCCTTAGGAAAGCGACGATCGAACAGGTGCCTCGGTCTTCGCCTCTCCGACGAGAAGCTCGCAGATCCCCGGGGGCTGGACGCCGCAGCGGAAGCCTGCGGCGGAGGATCTGGCGGTGTGGGACAAAGTCACCAAGGATGGCCGGGTCTCAACATGCTGGCAAGCCCAGCCACCAGTTCCTTAGGTTTTTTCGCGTTTTTGTCGTGTTATTCACTTTAAGCGGGGGAGCTGACAAAAGTTCGGACAACAGACACAGGTGTCTTTTCAGACTGAACCGCAAATGCGACAGAAACAGGGCCCTCCCGGCTGCGGAGGTGACCGGAGGCGACCGGCCGTAGGCTACGTTCAGAGAAACCACCGGTGGGAAGACAGCGCAAGCACCAGCTCATGCTTTAAGTTAGGCTGTAAGAGACAGAACCTCAGGAAATACAAAAAGCTTTGCTTGTTGAATGCATATATGTATAGGCGGGACCAACGCCCTGTATACTCACCACACAGCAATCCAATGCCCTGGCCTGTGAACGGATGTACATTGAATGTGCATCCGGGGAAATTGCTTCCGGATGTCACCTGCGGGTTTAATTTGATGTCACGTATGAAGATCCTTTACTGGAGGGTTCCTGATTTCCGGTTTGCAAACCATTTGGGTAACTTCCGCATGGATGATTCCCCCCTTACCGGGAATGTAGTTCCTGTCTGGTGGGAAGTCTGCTGTCTGATATGGTTCTCCAGGGTTTCCGACGGTAAGATTATGTATGCGGTAATTAGCAGTAGTAGCAGTAGTAGCAGCAGCACCAGCAGCCGCCGGGGGGCCACTATCCGTGGTAGGCAAACCAAAGACCACACAATTCTGTGGTCTCAATGAATGCCTTGCAGGAGCTGAATACTGGCTTGGCATCCATGGGAGAGCCCAGCACTGTGGAGACACAGGTGGTGTCAGGCATTAAGTACAAGTTCAGCTTCGACAATGGCGATCAGGTGCCTCCAATGTACCGCAGCCTTTATGTTTTGGACCCTTTGCTGCTTTCTGTTTCTTTGGGGGGGCCCTTTTGTGACATGGTTGCGGGAAGGACGTTAGATTTGTTTGATTGTTCTTTTTAGGTGAAGAATCAGTCGTTGCAAAGGCCTTTCAGTATCTCAGAATCACTTCCCCGCCCCCTCTTCGAAATTTAACCCCGGAAACGTCAAATTGGCCGATGAGGGGAGTGGTCCGCCAAAAGTGAAGGCCCCCAATGGGGACATCCCCCCAACCAAAGCCGATTTTGGGGCTTCCCCTTATTGAGACAAACCCATCGTGTACAGGTCACTGTGTGGTCGCAGCCATGGCTCAACAAGCTCGCGGTGGTGAATGTGCACCAGACAGAGCCCTGAGCACCACATAGAGAGAGCTTCCGGCTGTACAGATGTCCAGAAGCTCCAAGAATTGTCTTTTGCTGTGACTTCAAGTCTCCCAAATTCGAAGTTGCACTGAGCTTCAAGTCACCTTTGGCGAAGTCACATTGAAGAATTGAGCAGCGCCCCAAACCACAGTTGGTTGTTGCACGGTACCTAGTTGTACCCTGTTTGAGAGGGATGGCAAGAATGGCCTCAGTCAAGCCAAACTTCCAGAGGTTTTGGGCGCTGCACATGTATCTTGGATCTTTGGCTCCTTGTACAGTGGGCCTGATTCGAGTACAGTGAAGCTGACTTCAGCGGTTACAATTCAATCAGCACAAGGCCAAATGGCAATTCTATACGAGTAAAAGTAAAAGGCTGAACAATTACAACACATGGCATCCTATGATCATGAGATAATGTTGCTGAACAGTACCATTTCAATTATTGAGGCCCTTATGGCAGACAGTGTTGCGAAGTGTTCACCAAGCTTACTGAGGTTTGCAATCTGATTTGGAACCACAAGTGGTCTTGCAGTCAGAGACCTATGTCCTTACAAGGGAATGTATGTTTGCACGTGTGATAGTTCCTTTTCAGGTTGGGAACATGTCAGGGTTCTTCAAAAAGGGGATGCCTTGTTCAATGTTGCATTGCAAGCTACGATTTACTCCTTGGTTGGCGAGTTGAGATTCAGGTAGTTTGGCCGATCCAATGCCAGAATGTCTTCCTGATCTTAGCCTCCATTTGTGACAACCACTCTTGCTAGCGTGGCAATGTTGATCCCATATACATCAACCCCAGTTTATTAATATGGGGTGTCCCTGGGCTTAGTGGGGGAATCAGACCCGATTGGTCCGCACCCTACCAATAAACTGTGGTTGATTAACATGGGGTCAACATGTTTCTTGTTTTGTGAGGGCAGCCTTTCAACGGAAACCAATGGCAGGGCACCCATGTTGAGGTTCCCTATCACATGTAAAGTCCCTGAAGCTCAGCAAATTCAGCCACTTGACGTCGTGAAAGGTCCAGCTCGCACGCTGGTTTGGTCGCCATTTTGGGGAGGTTTTCTCACTTGCCCAAAGCGAATCGACCTTTTGACCCTTTGGTTTCCCCTTTTTGGTCCATTTTGAGACATGGCGCAGAAGGTTAGCCTTGTATTTCTGGACCAGTTGGGCAAGCATGGCTCCATCATGCGCTTAAGCAACCAACCCCTTGTCAATCACTTTGGCCCTGCACCTGAACTTCTATCAAAGACAGGTTTTTGAAACAATGGTAATATTGTGGATGGACGAAATCCTGCACCACCAAAGAAACCCTGGAATGGTGGTTCCCGTGTAAATACCAAACAACGTGTTTTCTCATGGTGTTTTACGTGATTCAAAATGGATTGGTATCGCCCGACTGCAACTTGCTCGCAGGCGGCGGATCCGCAGTTTGAGATCGGCACCAACGATGAAGACGAGGAGGCATCGCGGCTGGATCTGTTTCTCGATTTCTGTATCAGCACGGCAACTGGCTCTTTTTTGATGAGTAAATGAGGAGGGATTGTCTATTTTACAAAACGGCGAGCAAGCAAGCAAGCAAGCAAATTGGGGGGGGGGGGGGTCCAATCACCAGCCAGATAATAGCAAGCTCTGTTGATTCGTGTTTTGTTTGCGCGGAAGGCTCGGTAGCTATGCGCCAGAAGCAAATGTGTTGCTGTTTGGTTGGAGGGCACAGCCGAGATAGAATAATGAAGTGGCCCAGTGCTGCTATGACACGCACCTGGAGCTATGTCTAGAGTGTAGACATTGTACAACTGCACTGCAAAGGAGAAGTTTGCATCTGCTTTCATGTTTGAGGGGCGGCATAGAAAGCCAAGATTGCAGGTTTTCCTTCATGGGCGTCGGGGTGGATTGCAATCCATTTTTTGGAACTGTTCATCGATTTTGTCTGGGCGCCATCTTGAAATTGGACTTGAGTGTGGCTATGTTCTATGCGCAAATGTGGTGCAGAATCCCTTTTCAGTGCCCAGCAAGCCGCTCGAAAAAGATGCAGTTTGCCTCGTTTGCTTCAATGCTCCTGTGGCAAGCTCCTAGGTTCATATCGGATTCACGGCTCATTCGGTCCTTTTGCGTGCCCAAAACTGTGGGGCTGGTGAAATGGTTGACCCAGCTTAGCGCTCAGCCTCTAAATCCCTGTTGGTTGCAGCTGGTAGCTCTGCGTAGGCAGAGAAGGATGACCATGACACGGACGAGAAGATCGTGCGGCCCAAGCGTGAAAGAGTCACGCGGCAGCAGCATGATGGATGGATGTGTTGCATGAGTCGTCCAAAGTGAGTCTTTGGAGAAGAAAAACACGTGTTTACCCTATTCGTCGAGCCAAACTCAGAGGACCTGGCAAGAAGAAGCGCACTCTTACCCTGCAATCCGCTGAGCGGTGGGTTGCATGTTGGTCGGATGGAACATGTATTTCCGGTCCTTCAGATTGATTGGTCAACGATGGATGGCGTTGTGTAGCCACACCTGTTACAGACACCGTTGGAGGAGAGTTTGCAGTTTGCATTTACAAAGTATGAGTCGGCTTGCCACGTGTTTGGCCTTGCTTCATTTTCCTGAATGCGGACCGCTCGCAATTGGGCCTGAGGCTTGCACAACATATGTGCTGGACGAGCAGTATGAGGCACGTGAACTTGAGTGGGGCACGGGATGAACACGGACCCTTTCAGAAGTTGCCTCCTAGCCCGCTCCTTGAGATTTTTGTCCCGAGCATGCGCTTCTTTTGAGTGATAGAAACCAGCTTTTCCGGAGTTTCCAGAGGAACCTTGCCAAGTAATTACCCAGGATTTCCTGCAAGTCTTCCAAGAATTCCTGTGGCCAAGTACCCACCGAAAAAGATGTCCTGCGATTCTTGAGCAAATCCTGCAGCTGGCGACTCTGTGATTGAGCCAAATGCCAGCAACTCTGTGCGCGTGCTTGCCTTCTATGAGGTCCAATTTGGTAGAAGGGCCTCCGTGTCTGGCAGGTGATGGAAGTTGTTCCAGAATTTGGGCAGAAATTTCAGGAATCCGCTGACGGTTACGTAAATACATGTTGCGCACGACACCAGGATGGAGAGTTTGACTCTGGTGCAGTGAACCTCTACCATGAGTTCTAAGACAGACGCGTCGAATCCAGAGACAAATCCGATGCAGAAAATGTTTTAAGTCCACTGCACTCAAGCGCCGGCTCCGAGTGGCATACCAAGGGGGGAACTCCGGAGCTTGCAACTGCTACACTGCACGGGATGGGCACTGGTTCTCAGTTGCCCAGTGGTGCCCTTTTTTCCTTTTTTTTTGGGCAGGGTTCCCCTTTAAAGTCAAGCAACTAAAAAAGGATGTCCTTTTTTGCCATGGCTCTGCAGGATTGCTTGAAGATCTGCGGATTGTGCTACTCCTTGTTCCACGCGGCCGCCTCAGTACCCATGTGCCACGTGGAGATCCTTTGCTTCATTTGCCAGTGTATCATGTAAGAAGGCGTTTGTGTTATGTATGTTGCCATTATATAATCATTGTGTTTTGAGAACACTCAGATTCAGTTGGTGTTTGTGTGGCTGCTTGTCTTTTATTGGCTTAATAATATTGTGTTTGATTTGCCCTTGTTGGTTTTAAAAAGAATCTATCACTACTTGCTTTTTTCCAGGGGGCTTGAGCAAGTCGAAGTTGTGTACATACTTTGGTCGTTTGACATTCCGACACAAACATGAGCGCTGTGCTTTGGACTTTCCGGCCGAGGCAGTCTACCATGCGCCTGAGCCCGGGGCCCCATGTCATGCGACTGTTGCAGTGGCCAGCGGCCACCAAAGGGTCACTTGAATTGATGTGTACTTTATGCGGCATTTGGGGGTGTTGCGTTTTTTGAGGGTACCCTTTTTGGGATTGGTTTAAAGGGATCCCAAAGGATAACCACCATTTTGGGGCTTCCCCTAACCAAAAGACACCCATGTAGAATGCCACGAACCCTCGACTTTTAATGACAGCCACGAGGATCTCAAGGAGATCGTGATAAACTGTCCCATAAGCCGGCTATTGACTTTGGTACGGATGCTGCTCTCTTGCAAATGAACACGAAACTTGAACAACCCAAACTCTCATTTGCGGACAACCGTTTGCTGGGAGGGCACCCGTTTGTTTTGTTTTAGGGGGGGTACATTTTAAAGTGTACTGCAGTACCACAGTTGTGTCCATGATGTCGCCCAAACCCTAACCCTACTCCCTTAGTTCCTGCGCTTTCTACTTGTTTGGACGACCATAGAGGCAAACAACAGAGTCAGAAGTGCACAATTCAAGAAACTGTCTTTGGCAGTTCAGTGAGAACCTCCAAACCCTTTTGGTTTGGTGTCTTCCCCGTCGTCAACAGCACAAGTGGTTCCATGTTGTTTGTACCGGGGTCGCTGGTTGCAACTGAGTCATGGCTCACTTGTGAGAACATGAAGCTCGGCAGGACCCAGCACCCATAGGCTGGTAAGTTGTTTTACGTGTTTAGAGATATGCAAAACTGTGGATGGACAAGCCGTGCACCAGTTGATAGGTGGTTTATTCCGGTATTTAGGGTTTCATCCATCCCAAATGGACATAATAGTCTTGGTCATATATGGCATTAGCCACTGAAGATCAACAGCGCCACTTGGAGATAGGAACACCTGGTTATTTGGGTACGGAATAGCCAGGCTGAATTTTCTCTCAACGCAATCGGGAACGGCTCAACTTTGGGCTAGGGACCAACTCGGTGTTGTTGTTTTTGTGTTTTTTGTTTTTAAAGTTTAGAGGGATTTGTTCAACTTTTACTATATACAGGGCCCCCTATGCTTCCTTTCGCTGGTTTCAAGCATCAGCTTTTGGGCCAGTTTAAATTCAATTTTATTTTGGTGTGGTGATTCTGTGGATGGACGACATCCTGCACCACCTAAGAATTCCTGGAATGATGATCTCCCTGTAAATACCAAACAAACTGTGGTATTCCATGGTGGCAAAGTGGTGCAGGATTTCGTCCATCCACAGTAGTGTATTGAAAGGGGCAAACATAGTCGTAGCCCTGTTTTCGCCAGTCGCACGAAGGCAAGTCCAGCCCTTCAGGACAAAGACGCCTTTGTTCCGGGATGTGAAGATCGAGCCTCCGCCGGACACAGTTGCGAGACACCCAGACAGTGAGCCGAGACGAGCCGAGATTTGGTCCCGGCCATGTTTGTGGGTTTCCCTCCGGTTTCCCCTTCAACCAACCCCAAAAAGGGGTCCTGCAAACAAAGACAGACCCACATGTTGCTCTTGAAGGGGAAGCCATGAGGTGATATTCACTTTCAGGAGACTCCTCTACAGGTAAAGGTGTTTTGGCGTATGTCATTTTTTTGCCGGAGAGTAGCCAGGCTTGGTAGGTCGCCTGGGGACCTCGCACAGTGCGTTTCAGAGTCCATGGCGGCTTCTGCCTCTATTGATCCTGTGGATTCATCCTAGGCTTTGAGAATGTGGATGGACGAAATCCTGCACCACTTTGAAACCATGGGGAAACCACTTGTTTGTTGGTGTTTTCTTGGAAATCATCCCAGGGTTTCTCGGGTGGTGATTCAATGGATTTCGCAACCATCGTATGGACAGCTTGTGGGCACAAGCACGCCAAGTGGTAAGTTGTTGCCTTCCAAGCGTTCTGCGGTCTGCATCCTCGAGGCCTACACCAAAGGCGACTGGGGCGTGGCGAAGACCAAGATGTTCGATCGGTGCGCGGCTCACCTCCGCGCGCCAGCCGGCGCGCCATTTCGGCGGAAAGGGAAGGTGTCCAGCCGGTTCTGAGACGGGCCTGTTCAAAATATCTTCATCCCAGTTACCTAATCGTTCGTTGAAGGTTTTTGAAGGGAGGTTCTGAAGCCTTCGGTACCTTGTGGCAAACAGAATCGCAAAGAAAGGATTGGGTCTTGTTGTGGATTCTTCATTTTCCGGGTTTGGAGTTCTTTGGTCCCCAAAGGATCTTCAAGTTTGGTCTTTGCCGTGGGCGATCCAGGTGGGAAAGTGCAATCGATCCGATGGCTCCATAAGGTGCCTTATGGTCGGAGATTCCCATAGTTTTGTCCCAACATTGAGGAACCCTGAACATGGGCGGTTTTCCTGTTTCTCTTCATAAATCTTTACCAAGTCAAAAAAAAGGGCTTCCCTCAAAAGAAAGACACCCAGATTCCCTTCCAAGAACAAGCCACAAGGTTCCTGGACCGAGTGCAGAAGATGCTGGGGGAGAAGTACCTCCACTTCCTCTTTGGGCAGGCGAGATGTGAAAAGAGAGAGGGCCATGCTCGATCCGCTACTCCCATTGGCATTGTGTGTTGCAATGAACCGCCTCAAAAGTGTTTGGTGGACATCGATCCCCACCATACACGTGTTCACCAACGGGTTCCCTACTAAATTTCACGCCCTTGTTGGCCCATGACTCATCTTGCCCTCTGGCTTTAACTCGTTGAGCAGCAACGGCGAGCGGCAACGGATCGGCAAGGTGTGAAGCTGCAACCACTTTCGGGACATCTTGTCTTGTCAAGTACTTTACATGCTCTATACTTATTTGTTTCAGAATATTGTGTCTTGCCAAGTACTTTACATGCTCTATACTTTTTGTTCTGGATCCTGGAAAGATGATTCCCGTGAAACTACCAATAAACACTGGTTTGATATAGTTTCAAATTGGTGCAGGATTTTGTCCATATCCACATGTTCGTTTAGTTTGCCTAGAAACCAGTATGTTTTCCTGACTTTTTCCTAGACCGCCTAGGCAACACCAAGTTATCAAGTTGGTGAAGACCCCAAGAGTCAAAAAGTTCAAGCGGTTTTGGCCCGTCACCTTATCAGCCCTTCCGGGTTCCGTGCTTTGATGATCTGTGAGGTAGACTTAAAGCAAGAGCTGGGCCTAAGCCCACGGAGTCGTCAAGAAGTGCTTGGCCGCACCTCTTTGCTTTTGTTTTCCAAGCCCAAAAACCGCAGTTAGCAGGGTTGATGTGATCTTAAGCAATAGGCAGCCGGAGGTGCTTGGCCACCTCTGTTTCGTTATTTGGGATGATAATCCCAGCAAACGGCAGTTCGCAAATTTGTACCCTTTATCACCAACCAGAGGCAGGAAACGCGAGCAGGGCTTGGTGTCTATTTGGCTTGTAGCTTGTGAAGTCAACCACCAGGTGGAGATTGTCCGGGGCTCGCGGCTTCAGCGTATCTACTTCTTAGTGCCGAAGGCTCGCGGCACTTCTTCCGGGTTGAAAGTCGAAGGCTTCGATGCACTGAGGGGTTGTCAAAATTAGGAACAACCCAGAGGGGACCGTCCACTTGGGGGACCATGATTCGAGAAACACCCACATGGGGGGCTTGGTTGTCATACTTACAGACCAAGAGACCAACCATGGACCATTCGATAAACACCCACATGGGTTGGTCAACCTTAGTTGACCTCACAGAGGGCATCCCCTGTAGGCGGTGTTTTTGGTGGCAGGGTTCCAAAAAGGGCCATAGACAACCCCCCAGTGGTTTCAGCGTTCCATGTAAGCATTTGCCAGCATAGGTTTTCTTTTGATCAGTTGGGTTGGTTAGAACTATAGGTTCCACTGGTTTATCTACATGGGTTTCATGCCCCATTTACTAAAGCCAACTTTGTTTCCAAAAGGGCACCTATGTTTGCCAGTGCCAGTCCGATGTTCACCTTTTGATCACCCTTTAGGGAACCCGGAGTACCTGTTTATCGGAATCGATTCTGCATTTTCACGAAAAAACACTGCGTTAGTATTAGTCAACCAGGTTGTTGTATGCGAGGGGGGGACATGTGATGGCACTTGTTTTAGTTAGCTCCCTCTCTCTATATATATATATATATTATAGCCTTGCACAACTGACGGAGGGGGGTTGGAAGAATGTGTGTGCTTTGTTTAGGAAAGCTTGCCCCTTCAATGATTGTTAGGACAGCGATCTAGCTCGCATGACAAAAAGTCGTTGTGCTAGAAAGCACGGGACCAAAGCTCTTTAGCACCTGTGCCAAATGGGAACCTTAAAACAAGCAACAAATCACTCACACTCACTAGTCCAGGTTTTGGAGCAGCTTTCAGGATGAGGTTACTGAAGCATAGATGGTCGTCTCAACGCAATACTCATGGCTTTGAAGCATCCAGCGTGCTGCATGAGATGTTGCGTCGCCATGTTTGCAAGAAATTGCTGCACGGCTCTAGTGGACAGAAACCCCATTGCCCTACACTCGTCGTGCTGAAACAGTCCGATGTGGGGATAGGAGTTTGTCTCAAAACGCGAAGCCAGCTGCAAGAATCTGTCGGAAGCAGCCTGGGGGCAGGGGCTCTCGGCTCTTTCCTTTGGATTTTGCAGGGTGTGTTCCGTAGAGTTTTGTCAAGGAATACCGTATCCACTTGGCTGAGAAAGCATTCGCCTGGCTTCACAAATGGTTTGATGCGAATCAATCTATATTTATATATATATATATATATATGCTCACACCCCCCCCATGAACTACTTTTTGGGTGAAAAAGCAACCTACTAAGGCAATTTCCTGAAAAAACCTGCACAGATCTGCTCAAAGCAAAGCAAAAAAAACCTGCTTCTGTGAGAATGCATCACAATGAAATTATACATCTGCACCAAGCAATGAAATCTTCCATCTACACATCTCCGTCATATAATGACATCTGACAGACTAGCAGCCCCAGCAACCGAAGTTCCTTGTTCAATCAACATGAGTGGCAGCATGTGCTGAGCATGGACATAGCGAGCACTGCTCTTGCACTTATGCATGCACAAGGTGTATGCTAGCATTCAGGCTCAAGTGCTCACTCTCTTTGTCTTGGGTGCTGACTATGCATGCGCATAGCTCTTTCAAGAAATCATCTGAAATAGAATTCATCAGAAGTATAACAATGCAACTTATATGAAAACACCGAAACAAAAAACAACAATCGAGAAAACCAAAAATCCAAAAATCCAAAATTCTGAGACCTATGTTTGGTTTGGGCTCATTTTTCGGTTTTTTGGTTTTCTCGACGTTTTTTTTGGTTTGTTTGGGTTTCCTTTTTTTTGATTTTTGACAAAAACAATAACACCCAGGATTTTTGTTTTTTCATGTCATGGCCTTAAAAATCATTAAACAAACCAAGGTTTTATTGTGTGTTTTTTTGATTTTTAAGGCCATGACATGAAAAAAAACAAACATTTGCTGGGTGTTTTGGTTTTTTGTCAAAACTCCAAAAAACCAAAGGAAACCCAAAAAACCCCAAAAACACATTGAGAAAACCAAAAACCAAAAAAAAGAGCCCAAACCAAACATAGGTCTCAGAATTTTGGATTTTTGGTTTTCTGGAGGTTTTTTGGGCTTCTATGAGTTCAGCTGAAACATAGTATAAAACTGTAGACAAACTATTGAATGTTGCTATAAATCCATAAAACAGTGAAATTCGCACAAAACCTAGGTTTTGCAGCAGTTTTCACAAGGTGTGTTAGGTACCATCTACAGAAAGCACTGTAACTTACAGTGTTTTGTGTCAAACCAGATACATAGCCAAGACACAAATCATCAACTTGAGGCGTCAAACAACATTCGATCAGTTATGGCTGTAACCAGCATAAAAACATCACAAAACACCGTAAATTACAGTCTTTTCTTATGATTTTCCAGGCAAGGTAGTTCAGAGGTAGTTCATGGGGGGGTGTGACCATATATATATATATATATATGTACATTGTACATTCTACATATTACAATACATTTCCTGGGCTCTTGCAGAAATGCTCAATTAGATGACACGCAGGCCGTCCGCGTCTTGAAGAACCATTCACTGGTTCACAAGTGGCTCGGATCTCAGAAAGCAAATGCGAACGGTGATTCCCCATATTCACTTAGCTTGTTGGAACCAGTTTTGCGAACACTCTGAAAGACAAGCATGACAGCAGCTTGGATATCACAAATTCGGAGAATTCCGAGATGTCGCTGTCGCTGCATATGGTCATGCAACCCAGGATCACAGGAATGGGGGCCAGTCACCAGAAAAGTAGGTAACCAGCTTTTCCTTTCTGGATGATACAGGGTTCCCTTGGATCACATCTGGGACAAAACTGCCGGACGCGGCCGAGCAGCGAGCTCGGTGCCGAACCAATGGGCCGCGAGGAGCTGCACTGTTGACAGGAGTGCGGTTAACCTGCCGATATGTCGGCCAGTACAAGGACTCAATCGGCTTCCTGGGTGGTTCTATTCGGATGCTGATGGTGAAAGCAGTTCCTGCAAAACTGATTGAGCTGTTCACATATCCCTTCGGAATTACCAGAGCCCTTCAGAATCCTTTGAGTGTCCGAACACTTGGAGACCTTGTCATCCGTTTCAATCAAGCTCTCAACGCTCAAGTTCGGGAAAAAAAAAAAAAAAACACCACTGGTAGACCCTAAAGCTTATTCACCTCCTGCGCTGCCAACCGGCACGATGGCTGAGGCAAGAGGAGTGCCTCGTGAACGTGGAGCGGTCCTCCCCAGAGGCCATGGCAATGGGCTAACCCACGTCTTGGTCCAAGTGAACGTTCCGACAGGTTTTCGCAAAGTTTTTGTCGTTTCTAAAATCACACGAGTTTTCATGTGCCCAGTACCTCTCAAAGTGAGAACCCCACAAAGACCCCTGGAGGGGTCTTCAGAAGTGAGAAACGTGGCCCGGCATGCAGCACAGCGACTCTTGGATGTTACGTAGGATCGTTGAAGTCCTTGCTAGCACGACATCTTTGTTGGGCTTACAGATAGTATTTCAGGCATTTTTCTGGAATGAGGGAGATGTTTTTTTTTCTTCCCCAGACCCTCGATGCAGCACTCAGTATAGAAGATGCCTGGAATGGTGTGCTTTGCTGCATTTCTTGCCAGGCACAGATCGACGACTTTGCTGACATGGTCAACGGGCAGTGCGCGAGTTGAAGCGAACGAGCCAAAGGTTTTCCTTCCGGGACTCTTTCTTTTACGACCACCCCAATCTGTTTGGACCAACCCAAAGGCCAAATTGTGTCGGGTTGGCAACACAGGGACCCCGTGTTGTTTTTGCTGTTTGGGGATCCAGGATGCAAAGTCCAAAAGATGCCTTCAAGGAAGCAAGGAACAAGAGGGCCATGACAAGGATTCAATATATCTTATATGGACCTGTTGAAGGAAACCAATAGTTTTAGGGGCGATCGATTCGTGTACTTCCATGAACCCATAGTGCGAACCCCTAGTTTACTGGTTAGTCACTGGGCTAATGATGCGAAGTCAGCCAGAGGGTTCCAACACGGCCATGCGTTCACACGGGGTGTTTTTGTTCTTTCTCAAGCCAGCAGGAAAGCCGCTGGTTTGGCGTGGTGTGGTTCAAAAAGGAGGCCAAAAGGAGAACCACCAGTTTGGAGGTCGAAAGACGAACCAGCTCGAGCGAGGTACATCTCCTTCGTGCAGAAGCAATACGACCTCCTGCGGAAGCGAAGACCTGAGTGGAAATAATTTGGGTGTTGTCAAAGTCAACGAATCCAATCCCCCAAGGGAATGAGTCGTGGGTTTCCCTTCAAAGCAAGCCAAAAAATGGTCTCGACAAAACAACATGAGGTTTCAGATGGCTTGGGTGGGGGGGATTTAGGTTGGCATGTGTGGGAAAATTTGCCAGGGGATGCCATTTTGAAGTGGTGGAGTAATCATAAGAACCTAAGAATTCCTTTTAGTTGTGTTGTTTTGTTGAGGGTACTCATTTGGGGCATGGTTTAAGGTGAATGCAATAGAAACCAGCGTTGTGTTGGCTTCCTCATTTGGAGAAGAACTCATTGGTCAAGTTGTTCGTGTTGGATGGGCAAACATTTCACAGTTATGCTAGTTTCTCGCATGTCGCGTCTCTATGATGTTGTTCTGGACCAGCTAGCACCGGGATTTTGTTCAACCATAATGTGTTGACTGTCATGAATGACCTGAGGGGTCCGCTTGATGGAGCCACCATCTCCCAGACACGGAGTTGTGATGCTGGCCTTAGCTGGTTAGACTTTTAGCTTGGGGTTGGAGACTGGCGGTGTCCAGCTGAAAAGGAGCGATCGCTGGTTAGTTGCCTCTTTTTTGGGACCCCAAATTCTAAGACACACCCAGCCTCCTGTCATTTGCAGCCTCCTGTGAGCTCGTATCTCTGTTGACATTCAGGGGGCTTAGTGCTCACGGTTTGATTCTAGGTTTCGTGCAGTCGGATTGACCGTGACCCTTGCTTCTTCAAGGTAGCCTTGTTCAGACGTATGTCATGGTAAGTTGCTGGCGTTGGGTGCGTGCCGCCTTTTTGCAGGCGGTGAATTTGCCTTGGGCTGATCTGCAGGTTCTTAAGACAGTTCCTGTTTGGGTGATTGTTTCAGGGGTGAATGAGGAGAAGTCTGTGGAGCCTAAGAACTGACATAGTCATCAATCCTTTCAACATGAGTTTACAGCACAACGATCGGGTAGCAGTGAGGTTGGCCGATCATGCCACTGCCCACACAAAGCAAAGGCCGGCATTGGCAAAAAGCAGCTGCAATGGAGAGCAGCCTCGGAAAGAGCTTGTCAGCCTGCTTCCTGCACGCCCAGTAGTCCATCGTCCATGTGGGAGGGGCATGATGGAATTCACCACTAAGTTTGCCACACAAAACAAGCAGGGGACTCACTAATCTTTCCATGTCCTCTTGGGGCAACAGCAATTTTGACCATGCCTCACATGGTCACCGTCCTGAGAGCTTTGGATCTAGGAAAATGAGCTGACTCGTTTGTCGTGGATGTGTCCTGCCTTGTTCAGATGAACAGATTGAGAACCCGTCAAGAGTGAGACATGTCTAGTGTTTCGATTATTGGGGACTATTATAGGGCATTGTCAAAGTTGGGCATCACCAGAGGAAGTTAGTTTACTTGACATTTGGTAAAGCTGCTCTGTGTTTCAGACACTTTCCTTGCAGACGTCAAGCAAAGAAGCATGCAACTTGATAGAGCGGGCCAAACAAGCCAGTGACACGAGTGCGAGTGCAGGTCCTTAATTAGTTCCCGCATCGGGTTTGTCTCTTTAAGAGCTCGTTGGTGGCAAACCTGAAAGACACCAGCATGGTGTGTCGCATTCACTCGGAAAGGGTGTGTGTTTGTTTTGTTTTGCCCTTTCAGGAAGCCAACCAATGCCAGCGATTCAGGCGGGTTCCCTACAGGGCCCAGGCTCGTTGAATCGGGCCGTGAATTCGGTGGACTTTCTCAGAACGCGGCCACGTAAAAAGAAAAGCATGGCTCAGTTCTTCCTGGTTTGCCTGGAAAAGACCAGCCTACGCAGCCCAGAAAACCATGGAACCAAACACCATCCATGGTTTCCCCGAAAGAAAACCTTAAGTTAGTTGACTTTCCCGGGAAGGAGACTAAACTCGGGTCGGTGTTCCCTTGGTTTCCCAAAGCTATCCATTTGGAGGATTCTTGTATGTTTGTTTCCAGATACCCCAAGTAAAAAAGAGAAAATAAGCTTGGCAGGGACCTCCCCCAATTCCACGGCAGGGTTTAATACCACCGGCGTTTTCAATCGCTTGAGGCTTCCTTTTGGTTTCTGTAGCCCCAGACCCCGAGGATCGATGCCCTGAGTGCCGCTTGCTTCGATTTCTCCGAGGCCCTGGCCCTTCAACGCGGCGGGGGAAGTCATCGCGTGCCTCACCGGAAAGTGGGTTCGATGGAGTGCCGGTTGGTGAACTGGGCGCAAGACGTCTTTTGAACGGGTCTTGAAAAAGCCACCAAATATGGGTGGCTCGTCATTTTATTACGCCTAAGCTGGTGGGGTTACGGTTTTCCAGTTGGTTCCCGTTTAAACCAACCCCAGAAGGGGTAACCTTGAAGAAAACACAGATCCAATTAGGTCTACATCTCAAATTCTTTCCTTTCCGGGTTCTTGTTTAAAAAGCAGCGACTCGTGAAAGAAAAGGAGGGGGGGATCAACCTTCAGAATGGCGCCCTTTCTCTTCCGGGGGGGGTTCAGGGAAGCCGGAATGGAAAACTGAAGCCCATTTCGGGGAGTCAAAACTATTTTGACACACCCATTCGGTGCGGACTTCCCACTAAAACCCGGACACACCCCTAGTCATGCTCCTTTGGTGTTTGGTAACACCTTTGAGCCAAGCGGACGCGGCCACGGCGGGGCAAGCCGAGGCTTTGCATCAATGCGACGATGCTGACCACGGCCATCATCAACAGCATCCTTGTCCTGGTGTATGTAGGCGCCGATTTTTTTCTTTTTCGGGGCTTCCAGAATGAACTTCAATGCAGTTCCCTAGAGGTCGTAGAGGTGCAAGAACTCATTTGAGGCTTGGGGGGGAGTACTGCCATGCTTGGAGGGTTGGGGATGATCAGCTGGGTTTGGCATGGATATACAAGGTGATTCAGAAAGAAGTTTACCTATCTCTACCAAGAGACATGGGAAGCAAGGCTGGCCGGGCCTGGCCCTGGTCGTTGATTTGGGCGAAACCTCTTGGACAGCTTCGCTCAAAAGCAGGAGTCTGTCTTTTTTGGAGGGGGCCTGCGCAATCTAGCATCATTGAAAGGGGGTTGGGCAACGACCATATGCTGGACCCATATAGTGGGTTCCATCGAGGCAAGCATGAACATGACCTGCACCTGCCAGGGCTTGATCCGGCATGGGGACGACACGGCTCACTCGGCAAAGTTCCACCACTGTGGATGGGAGATGCCCAAGCGAACCTTCCATATGAAACTTGGATAGCTGTTCGGTTTAGTTCAACTGGACGGAGCAACGGGCCACCTCAAAAAGGCTGCCCATGGAAAAGCTGCCTGATTGTGTGGATTAGATGCTGATGCGAATGAAACTCCGGCCTTTGCAAACCATGTATTTCTAGTTTTGAAGAGGTATTTCACATCTCCGATTACAATCCTAAGATGTCTTTTGTTTTCTCACCATTCCTGGATTCTTCATCATATTCCAGCGAAATTGGCCCCGGGGCGGTAAAAGGGATGTAGAACGGGAAAAGTGCCTTTGTCTGTTTGGGCAATTGCACAGCTCCATCGCCTGAACATGCCGAGCGCGTCTTCAAACGAAGCCAACCAGTTTGTCACATCACCAAAGGCCAGCGGTGCATGCCCAAAGCCTCGCAAAAGGGCCGCAACTTGCGCTGGTGTGGTGGCTTCCCTTGCTATTCCCTGGACATGTACACGGAACCAAGAAGGAATCCCCCACAAGGAACTTCCTGAGTTCCTGGACTTCCAACTTTTTGGGACGACCCTTTTAGTGGTAAATAAACAGCCTTTTTGTTGGACCATCCACTTAGGAAGTGAGAAAAGAAGCCCACCTTATTTGGGTTTCAGATTTCTCCGCCAGAGAATATTTGAAGAATGCGCCGCAAGATGCCAGGCTCCTACTCAGAGCACTCCATCACGGCGCAAGATATTCACTTTCCGCCGCTGCGCTGGCAATCGGGCGAATTTTCTAACTGCTGGGGTGGGACCCCACCAGTTCCAAGATGAGTGTTGCTTTTTTGGTGGGTGGTTTTCTAGGAACCCCTTCTGGTGAGAATCCTGTACCACAGGTTTCTGATTGTGACCAATCATGTGGACTCATGGCATTGTTGTTTGAAGCGGTGTTTTCGGAATTAGTGCAAGATCGAGCCTTTGGTTACGCGTCTTGGCACAGAACGTGCTCAAAGGCACGGTGCCATCAGTGCCCATATACCTGCCTGTTTCGCAATTCCAGGATGTGCCGCTCCCTACGGAAGCCCCTCAAGTTTGCTGTCGAGAGAAGTTGATTGCAGGAGCTATGCCAGTCTTAGCATGTCTTGGATGGCCGTACAAATTGAATCGATCGAGTGTCACCTTGGCACACATCTCTAAGCTTCGGCTTCAGTTGTCAACCACTGTAGACTGCAAGACCATGTACTTTCCAGACATCGTGGCTTTCTGGATACCTGGCACCTGGTCAATCCGCGTGCATCCCACATCCAAAGTTTCAATAATTTGTGTGAGGTTGCCTAGTTTGTCATCACACCGAACATTGGGAGTCACGGAATAAGGGGCCTTCACCATGGGTGGGGTGATAGACGTGTGTGGAGTCCCTATTTGCCCAGACATCCTGCGCATACATGAAAGGTTGCATGGTAATCATTTCAGGGCCTTTCTTTGGCCTGCCTGCGCCAGCAACCCTCGTTTGGGTTTGTCTTTCTTAGTGGGCCGCCTCCAAAACGGTGGTTTTCCTTTTGGCTTACTTTAAAAACCACCCCAAAAGGGTACCCTCAACAGCAGACACACCCCTATTTGTACGGACCCCTTGTCTAATTGTTTGTTTGTCTGTTTGTTTGTTTGTTAAGGCTTTGATCAGAGCGTCGATTTTCGGTTTTCCTTTGATTATCTTTGCTTTTGACTTGCCTTTCTTGGTTTCCACCAGAAATACGTTGCAGAGGGTCTACATCTGGCCCAGTACTCTAGGGTTCAACCCCCATTAAAAGAATGGTTGACCCAATTTGGATGATGAACTCCATAGGTAAATAATAATGGTTATACCAAGCCCCTTTTGTTTCCAGCACTTTTTGAACCCCAGAAAGTACTGGATAACGCAGATAATCTTTTCGCAGGCCGTATTCGTGTGGCCAAGGAACCATTTGTCCGTCTACGCGCTCACGGGCTTCGCCGCGGTGCATTTCAGCCTCTCCGTGCGCGGGGGCACAGCTAGCGCTTGCCGGAGCCTTCGGGTCCAAGTTCCCGCGAAAGCCGTGGTCAATGCGCTCATTTGCATCTCTTGCTCATCTGCTCCCAGGTTTACAGTGCAAGTGACCAAAAAATGGGGCCCCCAACAGTGGTGTTCCTTTTGGTTCAAACCAACCCCATGTTTGGAGTCCAAGCCCAAGAAACCAAAGGAACTCGATCGGACCCATTTGTAGCGGTTTGGTTCGCAACCCCTGACTTTGCTACACCTCCGCTTGTAGGTCTTCTAAACCTCTCTTACCGTACCCCAGGAAGATGCTACTGTCGGGTCATCCTTGGCATTGTGTCTCGGATTGTCCTGCAAGTTCACCAAAGAGTTTCTGGTTTGAGGGGTGAACCCTGAGGTTTTGGGGTCCGTATATAGCTTCCCAGACCCGAACATGTTCAGCTGCCCAGCTGCCATGCTGGTGAATTCAACATGTAAGTGTGACCTCTGCGTGTTGGTTCATGTTTGGTGGTCACACCACAATGATTTTTTGTTTCTTTGGTTTTTGGACATGTGAGCCAAGCAGAGTCGCCGTGATCATGACAGCCATCAAAACCAGTGCAGACAAGCATAGGGGTGTGTTCCCTGTCCATTCGTTGTTTTCGATGCGAGTTTTGCGATGAGTTCGCCTGTCCTTTTCAGGAGCATGGGGGAGCATTGTGCAAGTTGTTGATGATTCCTGTTGGGCTACTTTTTTCATGAGAGCTGAAACTGGCTGAGACTGCAGCTATGAGCCCACCGCCAAGGACGAATCTGTGCGATCCTTCCAAGGTTCTCAAACTATTGGCAGGGTGGTGCTTAGGAATGTTTCATTCAGTTGGTTGCCAAGGGTTATTGTGTTAATTCCTGGCGTAAAGGAGAGGAACAGACCTTGAGTCGCTTCGCGTTTGGCATTCAGATGGTTGCATTCATTGCGCCCCATGCGTGAAGATTCCGGGCTTCAGAGGCTTGGTTCAATTCGAGAGATCTACTTTTTGGAGCAGGCTGTGAGTGGGGCTCGCCAAACCTGCCCGTAAAGAGCACAAATGTGATGCCGGTGTTTGGATGCCCAGTTTGGGGGTTCTATATACAACAACAAGTTTAGAGGAGTCTAGCTTCTCGGGTTTCATGCGGCTATGAATTGTTGAATCCGTGCACATTCAGATGGCTCGATATAGGTGCCAGCTGTATAAACTGAAGCAACCCCTGGGTGGAGCTTCACCTAGTGTGGTTTGTTTTGGTTGAACCTTTCTGGGATATGGGACATCTTCGCGGAAGGGTTTCCTCCATGTCCATCTCGAAAAGTGGCAGGGAGCATGTTGCGACTTCGCTCAGCTGACGCACCTATCAAGCTGTCTCCTCTTTGGGACTCAGGCTTTGGCTTGGCTTCTACATCCTCTCCTACAGCGGGTGGATCATTGAGACCAAGGCGGTTTGCGTCCGAAACCCTTTCCGAACCCAGACAAAAATGCAGCGGGTGTTACATTTCTTGAGAGAATCCAGAATCCCCTTTTGGCTCGTAAAGGAGAATCCAACAGGAAAATCATCATAGGCGGCCTTGGTCAATGTTCAACCCTCGTTCGGGGGTCGTTCCATTTCTAGTGAAGCCAGCGAAAAGGGAATTTTGGAAGGCCCATGGTTTGGGCTGTTGGGGTCGTATCCAGACCTTGACGAGGGTGCCTGGAGGAGCATCCCCAGAGCAGAGTAGAGAGCCGTGTGTTTGTTCCTGGGATAAAACAGATGCTGCAACTCACCTATAGACTAGGCCCTCCACCACCAACTCCGCATTTATACACAACACAAAGCACATCCCAAAGCCATACCAACGCTATACCGAAGCCATGCCGAGCTTGTTCTGCTTCCAAAAGAGAGTAGAGAACTACATGACATGATGATGCCGGCTCGTTTGCCTCAAAATGGCAAATTTGCTCAATACTCTTCGGCCATATTGTTGCTCAATGCTAAGAGGATTCCCCCCAATCCACCACCCCCAAAACCACCGGCCAAGGAGAACCGGTTGCGGAGTGGAGACCATCCCTGGGATCCATATTGTGGATGGACGACGTCCATTTCGCACCACCTAAGAAGCCCTGGAAGGATGATTCCCCTGCAAATAGCAACAAGCAATGGTGTCCCATGGTTGCTTAGGCTTGTTTGTTGGTATTTACAGGGGACTCATCACACACCAGGGTTTCGAGTTCGGTGGTGCCGAGCGGATTTCGCAACCACCGCACCTCATCGCTGGCGCCATGTGCGATGCGCGATTCGATGGCTAGGTGGACCAATGGCGAGAAGATCATCCGCAGTTGCAGAGCCAGCTGCGGCTCGACCGAAGCGACCGAAGTGGCCATGGCGAAACCTGGGATCTCCAAAGCTAATGTTGACCCCCTATTAATCAACCCCTGTTTATTAATATAATATGCGGGGTGTTCCCCTCTAACAATGATAAATCCCCACTAAGACCAGGGACACCCCCATAATAATAAACAGGGGTTGATTAATAGGGGGCTTCCATGATTCCATGGGTGTACGTGTGTGTGTGTGTGTGTGGTGTGTGTGTGTGTGGTGTGTGTGGTGTGTGTGGTGTGTGTGGTGTGTGTGGTGTGTGTGGTGTGTGTGGTGTGTGTGTGGTGTGTGTGGTGTGTGTGGTGTGTGTGGTGTGTGTGGTGTGTGTGGTGTGTGTGGTGTGTGTGGTGTGTGTGGTGTGTGTGGTGTGTGTGGTGTGTGTGGTGTGTGTGGTGTGTGTGGTGTGTGTGGTGTGTGTGGTGTGTGTGGTGTGTGTGTGGTGTGTGTGGTGTGTGTGTGTGTGTGTGGTGTGTGTGGTGTGTGTGGTGTGTGTGTGTGTGTGTGGTGTGTGTGTGTGTGTGGTGTGTGTGTGTGTGTGTGTGTGTGTGTGGTGTGTGTGGTGTGTGTGGTGTGTGTGGTGTGTGTGGTGTGTGTGGTGTGTGTGTGTGTGTGGTGTGTGTGGTGTGTGTGGTGTGTGTGGTGTGTGTGGTGTGTGTGGTGTGTGTGGTGTGTGTGGTGTGTGTGTGTGTGTGTGTGGTGTGTGTGGTGTGTGTGTGTGTGTGTGTGTGTGTGTGTGTGTGTGTGGTGTGTGTGTGTGTGTGTGGTGTGTGTGTGTGTGTGTGTGTGTGTGTGGTGTGTGTGTGTGTGTGTGTGTGTGTGTGTGTGTGTGTGTGTGTGTGTGTGTGTGTGTGTGTGTGTGTGTGTGGTGTGTGTGGTGTGTGTGGTGTGTGTGGTGTGTGTGGTGTGTGTGGTGTGTGTGTGTGTGGTGTGTGTGGTGTGTGTGTGTGTGTGTGGTGTGTGTGTGTGTGTGTGTGTGTGTGTGTGGTGTGTGTGGTGTGTGTGGTGTGTGTGTGTGTGTGGTGTGTGTGGTGTGTGTGGTGTGTGTGGTGTGTGTGGTGTGTGTGTGTGTGTGTGTGTGTGTGTGTGTGTGTGTGTGTGTGTGTGTGTGTGTGTGTGTGGTGTGTGTGTGTGTGTGTGTGTGTGGTGTGTGTGGTGTGTGTGTGTGTGTGTGTGTGTGTGTGTGTGTGTGTGTGTGTGGTGTGTGTGGTGTGTGTGTGTGTGTGTGTGTGTGTGTGGTGTGTGTGTGTGTGTGGTGTGTGTGTGTGTGTGTGTGTGTGTGTGTGTGTGTGTGTGTGGTGTGTGTGTGTGTGTGTGTGGTGTGTGTGTGGTGTGTGTGTGGTGTGTGTGTGGTGTGTGTGTGTGTGTGTGTGTGTGTGTGTGTGTGTGTGTGTGTGTGTGTGTGTGTGTGCGTGTCTTTCATTATTTCAGGGTTCCTCTTTGTTTGGTGGCTTCAAAAGGAAACCAAGAGGAAATCAACTTGTTGGGGGCCCTGCCCCTGCACATCTATATGTTTGTAACATAGGACACATAATCTGAACATATGTTTGCCTGTTCAATTTACTCAGTTTAACCCCCCCGGCCCTGCAAACTGCCCTGGGACTCACCAGGAGAGTCCTCTACTTTCCCTTCGTACTTCGTACCTGTTGACTTGACAAACTTTAGATTTGATCGACATCGTTTTTTGATGTCTCCTAAGTTCAATCGTTGCTAGTGGATCGAAGTCAGATATATCCACCCCGCAAAACAATTCCTGGAGGTCATAGTGGCCACAACTCATCCTTTGGGCTTCTTGATCCGGAGCTACTTGTACAAGATGGCCGGCGGTGGCCTTGTTTCTGATAGGATCAGAACGTACCCTCTGTCCAGCAACCATGGAAGTGGACATGGATCTTGCAAATGGAAAGCAGTCTTCCAACATCCTGCGCTTCCATGCTTGTTGGAGGGAGGGTCTTTCGATTCCCTTTTGCCATCCATTGAATGACGCACTTATGTGGAGCCAAGGTGTGAACACCGACCTTGGGACACCTTTTGGTGCCTAGGGAGTAAAGTGGGCATACAACTATGCCTCGGTAGAAATATATACTGGACCCCTGACCAGCATGCGCCTCACTCGTGAAGCTGGATTCGCTTGAGAAGTGATAAATTGTTGTTGCGTTACCCCAAACAAAGACTTCAGATTTGAACAGTATTTGACTACTCACTCACCAAGTAGCCTGAACATCCGACTACGGCCGAAACTGACTTCACAGACGTACCAAATTCCATGAGCCAGTTGACATGGACTGGTTTCTCGCCAATTCTAGCCTCTTTGAGGCTACCGCGATGAATGCAAAAGGTACCAGCTGCGGTTTCTGTTACATGAGCCGTGTTTGCTTTGGGACCGTGCAGACCTTGGGTGGGAGCCAGGGTTGGTTTTCAGGGCTCGTCCATCCACCCTCCTACCAACGGAAGCGCACAGGCCTCTGGCAGACAAGGGAACCTTTGCGCCTTGGTTTTTCCTTTTGGTTCCCCATGAAACATCCGAAAAAGGTCCAAATCCCAGAACTGCCAGCCCAGGAATCACCCGCTCTATCGGCTAAGCCTGCAGGCGCGAACCTTGTCCCTTTCGAATGAGTTTGGTTTAGTTGACTGTGGTTGTCAAAACCGTTTTGGGATCCCATGTTGGTTGGGATTGGTGAATTCACCACCCATTTTAGAACCTATTTTAGTTGGATTGGGATGTTCACTGGGGGTACGATTTGGCTTTTGACCCATGGCCAGTTGAAGCCAAAAGCCAAGAAACATGGGCGTCCTCTTTGAGTTTGTTACCAAATAGATTGCACTGGTCGCAGTGTACAGTGCGATATTTCGTCCCAAAGTGCAAAAGGACACCTGGGACAGGAAACCTATTTTTGGGGTACCCTTTATATAGAGACAACCTCACTGGATGCCTGGGAGCCAAGCGAATAAAACTCTCAACGAAGACGTGCCATAGGGCATGCAAAGTTCAGCAGCTAATTCCTGTGAAGACAAAAGCAAGTGTTTGATTGAGAGAGGGCTCTGGCTTTTAGCTGTTCGACGCTGAGAAATAAATGTCATATTACGTGCTTTGGGTACAGAATGCAAATCCAGGACAGAGGTTTTCTCTGATGTATCCTTTGGGGCAAGTTTAATTTTCGATGGGGTTGCCTTGCTGCTCCAAAGAGCAGACAATCCCTATGAAAAGCTGCCGCTCCTCGTGAATTTGAGGCTACACACTAGCCTGATATTTGATGCAGCACGATCCGGCTGCCACATCCAACTAGCACGTTGATATGCCATAGGGGCAGTGAAAGTTCAACTGATTGGAACCCCAATTGCTCCGGTTGATGCCCTGAAATTTGCAGCAGCCGATAGCATGATCTGTTGCATGTTGGCGAGTCGACCAAGTGATTTGCTTTACCTTCTGGGTCACAACATGTGTCTGCCTCCGGTGGCTGACTTCGTTTGGTCACAAAGCGGTGCCGCGGACCTGCTGTGCAATATGCCGCGCCTCAAGATTACAAGAAGCATAACAGCCAGGTGGCCAACAACCAGTTAGTGGCACCAAACTACTTTTGATACCAGATCAGTACAGTAGTACTACTGTGGATGGAAACAACGATGTCATCAACTAAGCTCTGCACCGCTTCCACGTTAGAAAGCTCTGTGTTTTGTGACACTGCGCGGCCACACACGTTTTGCCACACCTATCTGCCACAGACAGAGCCCGGAAAGTCATGGGAGGAATAGCTGGATAACCTATCATTATATGTCCAACCTCCACTGCAGATCAGAGCCTTGCGCTTCCTGATTCCTTAGCATTGGTGTCTTCGTCCCACGAACATCCTGAAGCTTTCCAGCCGCCTCAAGGTATGAGGGGCTGGAAGTGCTGGTGATGTCTTTCCGTTAGAGTGCGACCAACTGAAAAGACCAGCGCAAATACCACTGAGTCTCCAGACACATGCGGAGCACACGTCGCTTTGGCGTAGAATCAAGCTGCAAGCTTGGAGCCGATGCAGTTCAGAGCGCCTACACTGTGTTGGGGTGCATCCGATGCACACGTTGCTTTGGCGTAGAAAGTGACCAATCAGGCATAGCCGCAGCCCATCAACATGTTGAGCTGGAAGCATGGGAGCCCACTCTAGGCAACTTATGGCGACTTTACAAAGGGCGTTGGTGTGTGTGATCTCGCGAGGAAGCTTCTTTTCCTTGGGATAGTCTTGTACAGGTGTTAAAGTTGTAGCAATTTGCCCGTGCGGTTGCTCTTCTATCTCCCAGATGCTCAGAGACCAGCGGTTTCACCAAGCTTGTCTTCTTGTTTTGGCACATGAGCAGCGCTAAGAGTTGTGTCATGGCGACTGTCATGGCCCCGCGTAAGCAACACCTTGCACGGCGTCAGCCATCGCAAGCACTTTTGGGAAAACACTGCGTAAGCACCCACGTAGGCTCTGCTTCACTGCTTCCTCCTGAGAATCATCCACGGCATCTTGACCAGTTATGGTGGCTGAGTAGCAATAGAGCAATTCTTGAGAAGAACCGCTTACAACGCTGACGCATAAGCAACACGTAAGTGAGTCATGCTCGCTGCTCGCCGCGTATGCCAAAGCATTGGCCGCGTAAGCGCGTGTGTGCACGACATAGTGATTCGTGGTGTGTTTGTAGAGTTGCTCACATGTCTCGCACTGTCAGAACATAGCTAGGTCCCCCAGTAGTGCCCTTTTGCCTTTTTTCGGGGAGAAATAAAATAGACTATAGAAAGGAAAAAAACAACGGTACCCTTATTCTAACCTCTCTACTGGAGGACCTAGATAGTGACATTGCCCAGCAATGGTGGCGAAGCCCCTGATGCTTTCGCATTCATGAAAGCACCCTGGTAGGCCAAGATCTTTTTCAGCGACGGACAGCTTCTCTACACGCGCTGCTCTTAGAGCCAGCTGCACCCGGAGCAATTTGCACTGATTCCAGGTTGCGTTGTTTGGCCTATTCCGCTTCAATTGACTGCTTCAGTTTCATGCCTTGGATCCTTTCAGAGGGTACTAGTATAGTAGTGGTTGCCTTTTGAAAAGCCCAGATAGGAAGCCGGAAGGGATGCCCTGGTTGCAGGCTCTTTGTTGTGGCAACCTCCATCTTACCTTTTCTAAAGAAAGCCCAAACGGCAACTACCACAGTCCTGCACTAATCTTGAGGCATACCAGTAGCACACTTGTGGGGGTTGATTGAACTCCAAGTAAGCCGCAGCTATGTTCTTTTTGGTTGATTTGTGCTTTTGATGGGCGGACATGTGAACCTGTGCACGGCAAGTGAAAGCCAACAAAAATAGTTTCTGCTGACATGACGATGCATCAGCCCCACTCTCTCGCTTTTCCCAGAGCGGAAACTGGGCGGCATTTAATCAGCGTGAGCAAGACTTGCTTCAGGTGAAACACAATCGAAACCTGGGTAGAAGAAGGTAAGTGGGTACACGCCCAACCAGTTCTGTGCCGGCACCAGATTGAGTACTTACTGGAGACCTGATTCATCTTCTTGCATCCACATGAGCAGTGCCCAAATCCGTTGCTGAGCGTGCAAGGCTAGGCTCGGAATAAATATGTTCCTCACTGCAAAAGAGTTCCATGAGTGGGAGGGTTAATCGCCAAAGACTTGTGTGGGGCCATGGCAATTTCTGTTTGGGTATGCACACCAGACCGGCAGAGGCGTGCCTTTTTCCGTGTTTTGCAGGGGCCTTCCCTTTAGGCGCCTTTAGGCTCAACCAAAAACAGGGCGCCCCTCTTGCTGACTATACAGACTGCCATTGACAATCTCTAAGAGGAACAATACTTGCACATCTTGTGCCCCGACAGGCATGACACGATTTTGTTTCAACGTACCACAAACCCTTCCAATCAGTTGGCCCTATATGTATATATTAATATACGGGTGTAAGGGTTTTGAGGGTTCCCCCCTTTTGAGGGGGCCCAAAAAAGACATGCAAATATTACCCAGATTCCCAGCAACAACCGCGCTGCAAGGCTGTTCTTGCTGGCGTTTTCCTTCTTGGGCCTTTTCGCAGCCTGGCTGAAAAGGAAAGCGCGGAGCCAGCGAAGGTGCAAGGGCTCTCTATATTGGGTGTGTGTGTGTGTGTGCCCGCGTGTTTTTGGGGGACCCCAAATTATAGTACGTGGTACTTTTGGTTACCGTTCGAAAAACCAACATTAAAAAGGGCACCGTGCAAAAACGACGCCCCTACCATTTCTGTTGCTGGTGGGTTCGGGGCCAGGTAAATCGATTTCAGGTTAAGTGGATGTTTACGGGAAATTTGGGGAGCCCTGGGTGCGGTTCCTGTTTGAACAACCCACAAAACGGCTGTGATTGTCATTTGAGTTGGCACCACTGATGTCTAGACAGAACGGATACGTGTGATTTCATTATATAAATCAGAGCAATGCCATGCACGGAGCAAAACCTTCACCAATAAGCCGCTGAATGTGTGTAATATGAGGGGCTAAACAAGCTCTATCATCGTTCGATGATCATGACTTAATTCTTGTTTGATAGGCCCCCTCCCAGCAGCTCTATGTTGATGATCAAAGCTCTTATAGAACCACCAAACCGTGCTGATGCAGGATATTGGCTTTACCAATGGGAACTGGTAACCTTGGCAGCTCTCGCTGCAACTCTTTCTTTATGCGCAGCCAAAACATTAAAAAACAAATGCTACCCGAGCAGCCGCACGCTAGTATATTGGCTGCATTGTGTTCCCCACAGTACTTTAAGTTTCAGCCATGAGCTGGCAACTGACCCATTCTAAAAGTGAAAATATGCAGCAGAGAGAACCACCAACTGGAGATCCAATCACTTGTAGATTGGGGCCTAGATCCCATTGCATGTTTTCGCAGTTGTGGTAGAGATGGACAAAAGCGATTTTGGAGCAACATGTAGACACGAGCCTCGCTCCGTAAGAAAATCCGGCCATGTGCCCTGGTGTTCTTGTGTTTTAGTCGTGGCCCAGAGGGTTAGCACGTTGTTTCCCGCTTTTGGCAAGAGTCAGACAGCCCCTAATTGTTGTTTATTGGATTGGCGGTTCGGAACCACCAATCCAAACCACCAACTAGGAAGCTGACAGAGAGAGGAAGGTTGGGGGCCTTACTGCGCACTGAGCCAGATGAAGCCAACGTTGCACATGGCCCCAGCTGGCCGTAGTGAGTAAACCTGGCTGAGAAGCCAGGCACATTTCTTCCAAACAGACCAACAAATTTGACTTATTCTTCTGCACGGCTAAGAGCATCCATCCGCGCCACATGCTTTTTCTTTTCAGGCCCCCCCCAAAATGTATAGTGATTGTTAAGAAAAGAAGAGACCCGTGATCCCCCTATTCGAATAGCCTAGTTCGACACACCTTCAGGTTAGCTTCTTGTTCAACGCCGTGAACACCATCGACCTTTGCATGCGGATTCCCATCCTGGCCAAAGTCATAGAGTCCATCACGGTGAGCGCTCGCCTCAGTTCGCAAATGGCCCGGAACCGCCCAGATGGGTGTCTCTCCAGTTTTCTCGGGTTGTTTTTTTGAACAACACTAAATATAGAACAGAGTCAGAAACACGTTTGATGTTCTGAGAGAATAGTTGGTTAAAGGGAAAGCAACAGAACAGCAAGCATCTTAGGCGACCACTATATTATATGGGTGATATCCATTTGGTTTCCCTTGTGGTCAGCGCAACAACGGGTACCCTCAACAGAAGGCGAACCCATTTCTCTGGGTGTTTGTGTGTGTGTGTGTGTTTATGTTCGGCATTGGCATCTATTTTTTGGGCTTGCCCTTTCCTGGGTATGCTGGCTTTCCTGGTCCAGTTTGCATGCGAGCACACGGAGGGAAGCATGTCATGGGCCGAAACGTGGACATTGAGGGACTAGGTTGCCGTCTCAGGACACGAATTGGCTCAATAGGTTGTTGGAATTTACGGAGCTGGCCTATTCAAAGCATGAACCAATCTTTTGATCATGTCTTTGGGGTTGTTCCAAAGAGAGGCTAAGGGGCGTGCGACAAATTGGGGGCTGCAGCACTGCACTTGGAGACCAAGAGCTATGGAGACCACTGGGAACCAGACTCTGGAACAGTTTGGGATCAACCAGGGTTTATGGTTGCACAATTGTGGCAAGCTTTGCAGAGCTATCGCAAGTTGGACAGGTTGTTTTGAGGTCGGGCGGAGCTGGGAACTCGATGGCCAAAAGCATGATGCGGGTGTCATGTTTAACGGGGGGGGGGGTGCTTGGACGTGAAACTGGTAGGGATTCATGTCCCCCCACTCTTGCGGTGGATTCCCCATGAACAGTTTGGACGCAGGCGCTGTCTCGAGCGGTTGGCGCTAGAACTCCAGGTGTGGACCAAGTGGCAGGCACCATGGTCCTGGGCTTCTGCATCCAATACATGGCGGTGGGCTTGGCCCTGAGCGTCAGATCGCCTGGTTGGATGGCTTGAGTTGAAGCCCTTGTATGGACCCCTATGGAAGACCCGCGAAGCTCCATTCGAGCGCATGTGTTGGGATGGCTTGAGTTGAAGCCCTACAGAAAAAACCCAAATATCTCCAAGCCACCAATTCGAGCATATGTTTTGGGATGGATTGAAGGGAAGCCAAAAGGAAAGTCCCCGTATTCTGACACATGCACAGTATCCCAAGCTCGGCAGCGAGAACTATGCCCACAGCAGGGGTCTCTTGGACCCACATTGTGAGCCGAGCTCAAATAGAAATTCACAACTGCTAGATGTGTTTTAGAACGATGCAGGCTCGGAGGGTTCCCAAACATTTCCTGGCCCCCAAAAAGGACTCATCCAGGATGGGTGCAGTGAGTACCTTTACTTTGGTGCCAGGGTTGGCTTGTCAAGACCTGAGTTCCTTGAGAGCGGCGAGGAATCTGGGGTCTCCCAAACAAAATTACATTTAAGGGTAGCGGTTGACTAAAATCGGAAAATCGTGCTTTCCGTGTACCTCAACATGTGGGCTATATAAGCAATGATTACGGATTGCTTATAAACTGCCATGGGGAAGCTTGAACAATGACAAGCAGCCTTTTTGCAGGACGTTACAACACGTGTTACTCTGGGGGCTGCTTCCCCATTCTTTTCAGCCATCGTTCTTTTCAAACACCAGCTATTTCCCCAAAGTTTTGGTGGTTTTCTAGAAAGAAGGATCACTGGAAAGAATGAAAATGGAAGTTACCCCTAGAATGTCAGGTCGATCCGCTTTGGACAACTGAGCAGTCCATGCTTCTTTGTTTCTCTGAGCAGTCCATGCTTCTTTGCTTCTGAAGTTACAATGGACTATCGCGGGGTTTCCTTCAATGTCCCGTGGCCTCAGTAAGCCGCCACCTGCGGTTCAATCCAGGTGCCGGCTTCCTGCTCTTCAGCCAGGGCTATGGCTTTGCCGACAAGGACACGGGCGACAAAACCCCGTTAAAACCCCAGTTGCCCAGTGGTGCCGTTTTTCCTCTTTTTGGGCAGGGTTCCCCTTCAAAGTCAAGCAACTAAAAAAAGATGCCCTTTTTTTCCCATGGCCACTGGGCATCTGAGAAACGGTGCTCGTTCTTCCTTGGACATTTGAGTAAGTGGTTCTAGTGCTTGGCAGTGCTTGTGGAGATGCCCTTTGAAGTCAACCACATAGGTATCACGGCAGCTATTTTCTGTAACCATGCCTCCAGTCCCTTGTTCGCAACTCACAGTGCAGATTCCATCAGCCGCGGGCAAAATGGCAGGTCAAATCCTTAAAGGCAGCTCACCTCCGCCGTGCCCTTCTCCGTTCTGAGAGGAGCTTCCCTTGAAGATCAACTACCAAAAAAGGGTGCTTTGCTTCACATGGCCACTGGAGCTCTGGGAACAGGGAAGATCTTTGACAGACAGTGCATGGAATCTTTATTTGGGTGTGTCCCCTTTCTTTTGGGTATTTTTTTTTTTCAACTTGCAACATTTGGGTGAAAACTTGTCAAATGTTGATGTAATTTTGACTTTTCTCTTGTGCTTTTCCCTTGCTGTTCCTTGCACTTTTCAGCTTGTTTTCCTTTGTTTTCACTTGCTTTCTCTTGCTGGTTTCTTTCTGTTCTCTCAGTTTTCTCTGGGGGGGGGGGGTTACCCCCTTGTTGGTGGTTGCCATGTTGCGTGGTACCTGAGAAAAGACGACACCAACAAACCACCCAACCGAACCACCCGACTAAAAGGACACCTCCGCATGTTCCACACTGCGGCGGCCTCGGGCGGCCTCGACGGCTCGGTTTCTCAACAAGGTGCAAGGAGGTCACGTTCCATTTTGAGCCACGTCCTCAAAACCTGGGTAGATGAAGGTTAGTAAGGGGCAGTCCCAGCCAAAAATTGTTGCGGCCTTCTAAATTCTTTACATGGTTCTGGGTAGACCATTTTAATACCGGGTTTTGATTGCGACTCATTTGCCCCAAGGTCCCCCAGTAGTGCCCTTGTTTCCTTTTTTGGGGAGGGTTTCCCTACTAAAGTAGACTACAGAGCAAAGGGTACCCTTATTCTAAACTCTCTACTGGAAGGGCCCAGTTGCCCCTTGTGGTGCCCTTGTTTCCTTTTGGGAAGGGTTCCCCCGTGAAGTCAACCAATTAAAAAAAGATGCCGGATGCCTTTTTTTCCATGTCCATTGGGCATCTGAGTTTGAAGAAGTTGTGTTTGTCCTTTTCCACATCCACATCACCCTTTTTAGGTGATTTGAAGATGAATTTCCCTTTGGGGGATGTTGACGGGGAACAGGAAAGATGGCGACTGCTGACGTCCGCTCATGCCAGAGGCTGCTTTTTTTTGTTCGATTCGGCAGGTATGAAGAGGGATGGCTAGAGGTAGCCGGTCACCCCACCTTTCCTAGCTGCTGTACATCAGGACGACTTTAGAGGCTGCCATCAGAGCATTCGTGTTTTGGTCTTTCCCTTTTTGCAGGAACAAAGTTGAGCCCGCTGACTTTTGAGCAGCCGGGAAACCTGACATCAGAAGCTTCAAAGTGGCTGTCTATCATGGACCAATTATAGAATCAAGCTTGAAATAATGTAGCCTCATCCTAGTCGGATTGGTTTGATACTGAGTTGCTGAGTTATTCTTAATGACTCCTTTGGGTGCAGGATGCCCATGTAAACACATGCGTTTTGGTCCCTGTGCTCGTTGCTTTGAGGATGGAGTGCCTGCGCGCGCACTTTGACTACGGCTTCAGAAGCGCACCGGTGCGAGGCTGAACGTTGCCTTGGGAAGCCCAGGTTTGCAATTCCCGGCAATTCTTCCACACCATTGGTGAGTGGTTCGTCCAATTTTCGAGCAGGGATGCTTGCTTACAACAAGTCCTGATGGCCCAGTCTGAGCTGGTTGTCAGGAACCTGCAAGGAAGCAGCGACATGATTCAGCTTAGGTGTGGAGCAGCGCGAAGCTGACCTACACCCGCTTTACCTTTGACTACATCTACAACCTGGCTCCGGCCTGAGTTCAGTACGTTGCACGTAATGTAAGTACTACATCCGCGCCATTTATCAGGGTGGTCATTCAATTGGCCCTGTGCTGGCCATTGGCTGAGTGCCGCGCTGCTAAGGAGCGCCCGCACAGAACGTCAGACTAAATACCAAACGAGTGGGTTTGTTTGAGCATCGCTCACTCCGAATGCAAGATATCTCATTTTGGATAGGCATCTTGTTCACCAGGCTATGGCGTTCAAATCATATATTTTATCCGTTGCATCTAAGCTGTCTGAGATGCCACCGTTTATTTGGTAACGTAAATGTTGTTGGCCTTGGCCACGCGATGCGCTTTGCATAGATGACGGCTTTCCCTACCGTACTTCAGTTCTCCGAAAGGCGAAAGGCATGCCCAATAAAAGCATCAACCTGCAAGCAATTGCATGATGAGCGAAGGCAAGTGATGCAGGTGCTTGTCCGGCCATTGTTTTACTTCGCCTGACTACATGAGCTGCCTTCATGGCCAGATGTTTCAATGACACGCAGAGTTGCCTGGAGGTCATCATCCTGATCATGGCTGCCATCATCTCAGGCTGCAACTCGTGTGCGCACCAGCTGAACGGACGCCGCTAAGAGTGTGCCAGTGAAACGAAAGGTGGGCGTGTGGATTTTGTTCAGGGTTCCCTTGTTGTTCGGCTTTAAGGGGAAAACCAAAGGGGAACCTACCCGCCTTTTTGTTCGAGTTCCCCAATTTGCTGACAAACCCAGAAGCGCTTGGAGACCTTTTTACCGAATCCCCCCATGTCCTGTTGTTTTCGAGACCCCGACCTCGAGTTGCGCAATTGGTGTGTTTTGGTTGTGGAAGGGGTTCTATTCAATCACGCACTTTCCTTTGTCGTGGTTGGGATTGGTGGCTTGGGAAATTTGAAGCCTTGTATCTGAGGGTGTGTGGGAAGCTTCCGGAACGCCTCCAAACCACTTGGGGTGAAGCTGACTGAAAGCTCTGAAACCAACTGCACCCAGTGCTGGTGCTAAGGAAACATCCTCCAAGATTCGGCAGAAGTAATTTCAACCTCGGATAATTCAACCTGGTGGACTCATAGAGAATTCCCTCTGAACTTGGACGCCATCAATTCATCAACCAGGAGTTTGTTGATCCTGAGTCTCCATTTTTTTAAGTGTCAAACATAAATCAATGCAAATGCCGGACATGTGTTCAACGCGTCTTTTTGACGGGGTTCGATCCTCTGCACGAAGGAGTGGGCGTTTACTTGCTTTGTGTGTGTGTGTTACAAGCGAACACTTCTGGGCGAATTGTCACAACCTCATCGACCGCGGGTTTGCAATCTCATGAGGGTTCCTTTCTTGGTTCAAACTTGGGGAATGAGTTGTAGTTGACTCAACCGGAGGTTGAGTTTGGTTGATAGACATTCAGCTCTTTTGTTTGATGTAGAGTTTCACAGTGATCTGCGAAGAGACTATGACTCCCTAGATACAAGCATTCTCAGGCATCGTTTCCTGTATCATATCAGCTGGTGTGCGTGTGCAGCCGTCGAAACACACCAGCACGCGCACGCACGCGCACATGTTATATATATATAATATACCTGTATTGTGTCTGTTTTGGGAGAGCCCTCTTTTGGTTGGGTTTAGCGAACACGTGAGGCAGAACAACTTCGAGACTCGCCCAGCCAGCGGCTCTCCAGTGTACCATGGGTGCAATGAGTTAGTCTTCACACGACCCCGAATTGGGTGGTTTCCTTGAAGGTTCCCATCTGCAAACTAACCCCCAAATGTGGGTACCCTCAAGATGTGTCGTTCATTGTGTTTCAACAGCTTCACACAGCTGATATTTCATGTTTGGGATGGCTGATAGATTATATATGAATGCTTGCATTTGCCATATATGATTGTTTGCAGATGTCGTTGCAGTTGCTTCCATGATTTGTTCCCTGAATCAGCCGCAGTGCAGGCGGGCCAACATTAGGGTTCTTTGGGGACACGTGCTCTCCGACAGCTCCACCCCTAAACTTGCCTGTTCAGAATACTCCTTTGCAGCGCGTATTTTTGGGAAGCCAACAGCAAACGAACCCTGTCTGCGTTTGCCTAATTTGAGACACATCCATCTATTTATCATGTTAAGCTGAGGCCAAAATACATCGAGCTAGTCAACCCAGGAGGGCAAGCGCCGAGCGCCAGGAATCATCATCGACACCTTCGCGGATCTGCGCGAGCAACAGCAGAGCATCCAGGACTCCCTTCGCTTGGAAAATGAAGTTCCAACCAGTTAGGCATCAAAACCCGGGTTGATGAAGGTGAAGGGAACACCCCCGTGCTGTAACTGGGTGCAACGGCCTTGTTAATTCTTTACATGGCTTTGGGTATATAGACCATTTTGATACCGATCGGTTTTGATTTTGACTCACCTTAGCCTAGGGATGTACTTAATTGTGGAGATACTAAAGATGTACTAATATACCTTCGCCTATGGATGTACATCCTAGGTCGGTTGGTTCCCACGGATGCACTTTGCTGGGGGTTAACATGGGTCGATTTGTGAGGTACTTGAAGCCTCCGGGTGGGGTTGGAGTTGGAGGTGGTGACCAGAGGGTTCTCCAGTGGGTCAATTGAACATGCGATCCGGGGCTCGGAAGATTTCAGTGATGTGGCTCATTGGTTCCTTATGTGAAGCTGGGAACATGGCTGACCGGTCTCACCGGGTTTGGGTATGGTTTGTCTCTGAGTTTGAGCTGGATGTTGATCCTTGTTGTTTTCTCAAGACACAGCAAGGAAGGAAGGGCGCCCGATTTGAAACACGCCTTTGATTCACCGGCTTCCCGCTGGAATTGCAGAGCCCAGGCCCCTGCGAAATCTGGCAAAGGATGGCACTGTTTGATGCAGAGTTCAGTGTTTCATTTTTTGGGGTAGTTGGCTCGTTCCATAGGGGTGTGTTTTGAAAAGAGAGTTCATGCCATACTTAGTGTGCACTGGGACAGCTGAGGGTTGGCTCATGGTTGTCTACTTGCCAATTTCAGTGAGCTCACCGATCCACGGAGGTGACACGCCCGAGATCAATTTTTACTTGAGAGTTGTTTTTTGTTTGTTTCTTTTCGGAGATTGCCGTCCAAGATGGGTGGCTGAACTCGCAGTTGGTTTTTCCAGTATTTGTTGCAGCTTAGCAGGGCATTTTCTGTAGGGGCCCTCGCTTGGCGATTGTAGCTGGCCTAGGCGGAACCGATCTGAAAGCCAAAAGCGTTCGTGCTTTCCATGGGGTTGCTTCCCTCCAGCGAGTTTATTGGGGATTTCTGCACCTTCTTGGTCTTAAAGTGGATATGACCTTTGGTTGGGAACACCCCCCAATTTTGGGTTGGTGGCCGTCGATCTGCATGTTTTTTTTAAAAGAAGGACTATAGTTGAAATGTGTTCCCATGTTTAGCCTGGGCATGCCTGGGTGGAAGAAAACCAAACAGATTCTCAAGGAATCTCAAAAGTGGATGGGCTGTTTTTCTTCCCCAGACCTCCATTCAACATGCGGCCTCGCAGGAAAAGATGAAGTCCAGCTGCTTCATTTGCTCTCTCAGCAAGCCCGCGCCCCCAGCCGAATCCACCGGGTGTTGTCTCAAGGTGGTCCCCTACAATCGTTGGCTTCATATTGATTTCCTTTTGGACTACTCTCCTGTCCACTGGCATGGAACCCACCAGAGGGTCCCTTTTAATTACGTCTTCCAGGACCGATTCCTCAGTCAGGTTCCATGGCAACTGGACAAGAGGTTTTGAGAAACACCCCCACGGCGAAAAACCGTTCGCCGGTCGTCGTGTCACCCGGTTCGACGGCATGACTGGCAGGTTTTGTTCCACATGGAACCTCTCTGGAGTGTCCTGGATGATCGTTTCGTTCAATCGCTGAGTTCCAAGTTGCTGGACTGGAGGGTATTCTTGGGACGAATGCTGCAATATACGTAGTTACTAGATACTTTAGTTGGTGTTCTGTTGCAACTAATTTGAAAGAAAATCCCAAACTCTTGGGTGAACCACGAGCCTTCGGCAATCTGCCAGGTGGGTTTATACAGGGTCAACATCGAAGTGTCCGACTCAATATCTCGAGTTAGAAAAACAACTTTCCGGGACCAGATTAGATCACAATCGGCAGAAAGGGATGCCAGGACCAGGGGAGTGTCATTCGGAAGGCATCTCTGTTTGTGTGTTTTTTGTTGATGCTATTCGTTTAAAAGGATGGATCATTTGCTTCTTGTTCCCACAAGCTTGATTTCACCTCAAAGAAGCCAAAAAGAAGGATGGATCAATTGTTGTTTTTCCCTGTGTTTTCTTTCGGACACCCAGTTTTGACATGAGGTCTGAGCTGGAGCGCAAGCGCGTGAAGTTCGAGCCCCTCTGGCCATGTTGCACCCCGTCGAGCGGAGCACGTTTTGTTGTTCTTTTGCTTGTTTGCATTTTTCTGTAACCTCTTTGTGAGTTGTCGTTGTTGTTTCTCATGTTCATGTTCTGACACCCTTTCGGTTTCTTGCAGTTTCTGTTGTGCAGTTGTTGTCGTTGTCGTCGCCATCTCGCCCTCCTTGTTTCCATCTCTTGGAAATGTCCGGTCAATGCAATCTTCGCCCCGATTCCGAAGCGAACAAGAACAGTTCATTGGTGTCCTTTGATTCCCTTTCCCCAGGTCCAATTGGCCTACCCTTGTCTTCGGAGCTACCCAGGAAGTTCGGATTTCCCTTGAGCCCGTTGAGCCAAGAATTGGGGGATCAAAGTTACCTGCCTTCGATGTGTGAGCAGTTTTTGAAGGCGCAAATCCACCCCTACCGGTTTCTTGTGGTCATACCCTGGATGAACAGAATCCATTTCGCACCACCTAAGAAACCCTGGTTTCGGATGATTCCCCCGTAAACACCATCATGGTTTCGCATGGACTCAAAGTGGTGCAATAGTGTGGATGGACGAAATCCTACACTACTTTGAAACCTCTGAAAGCCATGGTTTGTTGTTTTTTTTACAGGGGAATCGAATCATTCCAGGGTTTCTTAGGTGGTGCAAAATGGATTTCGCAACCATCCACAGCATGTCGTCCATCCACCGTACCTTGTTCGACGAATTATGTCGACAAAGACGGTTGCCAGGAACCACATCCTGAAGGCTCGGGCGCCAGATCGACCGGGGCAAGGGGGTGAAACCCCATTTCCTGAGCCAAGGATAATCTTTGGTGCATTTTGCCAAGGGATGTTAGAACTTTAGCTTTCTGCCAACTAATGGGTTTTCCGTGTTAAACCACGGAGCTGAAAGCAAAAGAGTAATGGCTGCCTTAGCAGGAGTTCTAGGTCGGAGCTTCGCAGAAGTCCTGCAACCCGCAACTCAAGCACAAGGCGCAGCCGCCTCACTGCAATGCGTGTGTGCAATCCGACAAGAGTGGTCGGTAAACTCAGAAGGAGCCTTAGGTTGGCCTTCGCTGCCTTTCATTGAGTCACACGACACGAGGTTTATGCATTTGCACCCATGGCGAGCTTGCCTTCACCTAATGTTATTACCTTCACCTGCTCCTGCCCAGAATGAAGGCCCCTTTAGGGATTCCTCACTAGTGATTCATCCGAAAATTCCTGGGATGCATCCGGTCTGTCCGGAGGACCACTACATGTGGGCGTATGCCCGGTTCCTTCTGTACCTGGATGAGACGGATCCGGCGGAGCTCAACGGTCCTGAGAGCTATGTCAAGCAGCGCCGGCCTGTCGGAACGATTCGGCATGCATGAAAACGGGATATGATGCCGCTGCTTGGTTAGATCATTAGCTGTTAACTTGTTGGGAAAAGGTGCGTTCTCCACAACAAAAAGGTTAAACACTTCTTGCACCGGGGGCAATAATTTACCACTGAGATGGATACTTCTCGGATTCTCATCAGACCCCACTCAGAGGACATGGTGCCTCAAGTGGGCCAGTTCAAGAGGCTAAATAAGGAACCGCTTTGCTAGACTTCCGGTTCGGGTGACCCCTGAGCCAAAGTGCCTGTGAGCTTCAAGTCGACCAGTCTTGTGTTTTTCTTCCAGGGGCTCCCGATTGATTCAGGGCCTTCAAGTAACCTGGTTTTGAGACCCCCCACCACCGTGTCTAATGCTTCGGGGTCGGGTCTCCCATTGAAAGCCGAAGCCGATCGGAGCCTCTTGACCAAATTCGCGTGGCTCGCCGCTCGCCAGGCAGCAAATCAAGGAGAACAACACCAGCTTCTTCCCCATTGCCCGGTGCATCGCCACCGAGTTTAGCCCTCGGATTGCGAAGGAGGGGAGGCGTGTGGCTGGCCAAGGCACACCTTTTCTTCCATTTTTCCATTTGCTTACTAAAAAACAAAAACTTAAGTTTTAAAGGGAATTCATCACTACTGGAAGTATATGTTATTTTTCCCAGGGGCTTAAGCAAATGGAGCTCTTTGATCTAGGAGTGTTGAGCGAATCAGCTCGGTCCGGTGACGTTTGGGGGTTCCCTTGTTGGGAACCATGTTTGTCATCCCAGCGGCCTTTGCTGTCGAGAACTCATTTGAAAAATCATGTGAGAAGTGCAATAGGCTATCCATGTGAGTCAAGCAGTCCTCTTGAATGTCGTTCTTCGAGTTGCCGGAGGATTAGAGCTGCGTGTTGCGGGTTTGATTGTGGTTGGGTTTGCTTGTTGCATGCCGGTCAAAGCAAGGCAGGCTTCCATCTGTTTGCTCTGTTTCATAGGCGCCTTCAAGACTTTGGTTGCCGTGCCTACTGAAACCGAGTGTTTCAGTGGAACCATCCCCCTTACAAATGGAACTGAGGCGGCATTTCGACCCCTTGAATTCCATTTATGGCAACCCACCACCCATTTTGCTTGGGGGAAGAGACAAATGGAATTGGGTCCCGGACCTCAATTCCACTCCCCTACCCCAGAAGAAAGGAGGGGGGATGTGGCAGCCTTTTCTTTTTCGGGGAGCCTCCAACATGGCGTCCCTTTCGGTTGTCTTCAAACCCTACCAACTGAGATGTTTGCATCTGAATTCCCACATTGACAGAAGAGCCGTTTACTGGTATTTCTAAAAAGGTTTCCGCTCAAACCAACTCCCCAGAGTCATGTGTCAAAGGCTTGCCCCCAAATGGGCGTGTCTTAAAAATAGGGGACCACCAAAATGCATGTTATCCTTTGGGTTTCCCTTGAAAACCAACCAAAATTGGGACCCTTGGAAATATCGACGGGCCCAAATGGGTCGGTTTCCACATGGTTCTAGGGGTAACTCCCCCATTCTTTCCAGGGATCCTTCTTTCTAGAAAACCACCCAAAACCCTGGGGAAACGGCGATCGGTTTTTGAAAAGAACGATGGCTGAGAAGAATGGAATCGGCATCAACCCCTAGAATGGTTTCCCTCACCGCCCCAAGACCGGCTGCCGCCGGTTTCCTTCGCATCCAGGTCCAGCGACGCTGGCGAGGAGCACCTGGAGCGAGAAGCGCGGGCGCCGCGCCCAGCCGAACCCAGCCCCGCGGCTCTCGGGTCCTACCCTCCCGCAGGCGATTCCATGGAGCTCGAGTCATTCCAAGGGGTTTTCTGTAGGGTTCATACTCGCCCAGAACCCCTTTGAAAAACCTCAGTTCCGTTGAGAGCCTTCTGGCAGCTTCCATTATAGTCTCAGGAAGGGATACTGTGGCTGGACGAAATCCGTTCGCACCGCTTTGAAACCATGGGAAAGCATGGTTTGATGGTTTTCAGATGGGAATCATCATTCCAGGGTTCCTTAGGTGGTGCAGGATTGCGCAACGAGCTACTCACTGGCTTCACATCAGCACTAGAGGCTCCTGTAGGACGCAGTTGGGGTCTCCTTACGGGTTCTTTTTTTGGGGGGACGCCGGAAATGGCTTCGGCTTTCCATTTGGCTTCACTTCCAAAACTACAGAAAAGGCGGGTCCGCAAAAAAGTGTGTGTTTGTTGTAGGGTTCCATTTTTGTGGTTGGCTCCCATGGAAACCAGAAGGACAACCACCAATTTCAGAAATTTCCAAACACGGGTCAATTTTGGAAAATGGCAATGGTTCCTTCTGGTGTCCGTTTAACTTTACCAACTAAAAGGGGATTCTCCCGTCTGAACTCCAATCATTTAGAGAAAATTCTCAATATGGTACATCATCTGCGATGTGTGTGGTTTCCTCTACATAGAGGTGGGCTAACTCACTCATGAAGCTTCCTCTCGGGTGAATCAATTGACCAGACTTCACCAACCGTTCTGCTTTCTCGGCCTTTTGGAGTTGCCTTCATTCCTCCTTTTGACCAGAGCAACAAGTGAGGCGGGGTCCCAAGCCTAGCCAAGGCTGGCGGAGAACACGGGTTGGTAGGGAACAGCTGGGTGTGGGGAGCCCTTTCTTGCAGGATGAAGGCATGCATGTCTTTCCCATACTGTCGATGGACAAAATCCGTTCGTGCCACTTTGAAACCATGGTTGAAGCCCTTGCTTGTTGGTATTTACAGGGGAATCATCATTCCAGGCTTTCTTAGGTGGTGCAGGGTTTCGTCCATCCACAGTATGAGGTACAAAGAATTGGATAGATATGGGTATGCGTCAAACTAGGGGACCCCCAAGATGGTGGTTGTCCCAAAAGGAGTGCCAAAAGACACACGCACACACACACACACACCCACACACACACACACCCACACACGCACGCACGCACACACACACACACACATACACACACACACTCACACTCACACACACACAAACAAACAAACAAACAAACAAACAAACAAACAAACAAACAAACACACACACACACACAAAAACACACACACACACACACACACACACACACACACACACACACACACACACACACACACACACACACACACACACACACACACACACACACACACACACACACACACACACACACACACACACACACACACACACACACACACACACACACACACACACACACACACACACACACACACACACACACACACACACACACACACACACACACACACACACACACACACACACACACACACACACACACACACACACACAAAAACACACACAAAAACACACACACACACAAAAAAAAACACACACACACAAAAACACACACACAAACACACACAAACACACACAAACACACACACACACACACAAAAACACAAAAAACAAAAACACAAAAACACACAAAACCACACAAACACACAAACACACACACAAAAACACACAAACACACAAACACACAAACACACAAACCCACACACGCACAAGCGCACAAACACACAAACCCACAAACACACAAACACACAAACACATAAACACACAATCACACAAACACACAAACACACAAACACACACACACACACCCACACACCCACACACCCACTTACACACACGCACGAGCCCCACTTCAAACAATTAGCAGTCCATTTCCGCTTTTTGGTTGGCGGGTTCTCTGTAAAATCATCCATCAAACCAGTTTCCAGGAGTTGTCTTTGACCCATTGCCACAGGAAATGTGGGTCCTGCCTATGCGTCCAGACTCAATGTGGCCAAGCCAAGTTGCCATCTAGGTTCAAACTTTGAATCACTGAGTGGCATAGGATCGTGCGTGAAAGCCGGAACTCTCGAGGGGTTTTGTGTTTTTCAGCGTTGTCTCACAGGGCAACCCACAGAAAAAGGAGCACGCGGAGATGCATACGACAAGGCGCATCGATTTCTCCGGCGCAAGCTCTCTGCCTTGAGTGCCCGAGGTGAAAGACTTGGATGAGTTCAAAGAAAGGATGAATGCCATGGCCGGCCCAGCAAATTTGCGGGTGCGTGTCAGCGTTCAGCTGAAAACCCGGTCCGAACGGGAAATCATGTTGCTCACAGTGGTTGAACTATCTAAGTCAATGCGGCACCGCAAGAGTTTGGCAAGTGGCACAGGGTTGCACCTGGAGTGACTTGGCTGATTATTTCCGTTGTTGTTCTCAGCAGATCTTGTGCGAGAAGTCTAACAATGCTTGCGACCCACTGAGTGGCGTGAAACTTACATCATGTGGTTTGACGTTTAGAAGTTTGCAAGCATCCGGAGAAGGCTTCCATATATATATATATATATATGAGTCACACTGACGTATTACTCTTCTGATATTGAGGGTGGAAATGTTTGCAACCGTGCCTATGAGTGAAGCCAAGAGATGTGTGCCCAGTGCTTAGTGGAGGCACACAGCACATGGGACCAAGAGCGTATTGAATCCGTGCTGGGTGTTGCTCAAAATCTCAGCTGTTCAGTGGCTCCCTTTTTCCCTTTTTGTTTGGTGGCTGCCCCACTAAAATGGTCTTCCCAAAAAAGGGTTCCTTTTTTTTCCAGGGTCACTAAACAACTGAGAAATAGTGATCCCCTCAAAAGATTGGTGAGTTTCCTTCTGGTTTATAAATCATAACCTCGTAAAGAGGACTCCTATGCTGTTCAGTGTTGCTATTTGGTGGCACCCAAGTGGATTTCTTCCGAATCAGCTACACTAGTCTCTCAAGGCCTGTTTCAGGCTGTGGCTTCCCTCAAGTGAATGGGTGGTAAGTAGCCCATTTTTGTCAATCTAAAGGAAAACAACATGGAGATGGGTGTCATTTGATTTTGCCAGACACCAACACTAAGCACCCATGGTGGTATGTGGGTGTGGCTCAAAATTAAACAGGGGCAAACCGCAGGTTTTGGTCCATGTTTCCACTTACCAGAATTCCATTTTGGGTACCGGTTTTTTGAGACACAGCCATTTGATTTTGTCCAGACACTACACTAAGCACCCATCTTGTTCGCTGCGTGTGTCTTCCGGCTTTGAAGTGGGGGCTGCGCCCGAATCGACGGAGATTCCTCGAATGAGGTTGGTTGGGCTCCAAGTTAATCTGCAGGGGAGTAGAATTGACAAACAACGATTGCTTTGTCCCATTCTAGGTAGGCAATCTATGCCGTGGGTACCACAAGGCAACTACTCATTTATGTCACAATTGGCCGATTCAACAAGGCTGCTTATTCCTGAAATTTGCTCATTACATGACACGATAGGCCTGTGTACAGCAGAAAACTAACCATCTGAGTTGAAGCATGGGTGAAACAGGCACTGATACTTTAGGGGAGCTGGACTCCCTCGGATTATTGCATGTTACCAGAGTGATTTGCGTGTGCCTCATCTTCAGCCTGTGCTTGGCATGAGATGTGGTTTGGATTGAAGGTGCATTTGCTGGGTTGAAGAAACGAATTGGTACACAGAGTGCAATCCTCCTCCTGAAACTGTTGAAAGATGACTGACATGTATCTGCATAATTTGTGGTGAGCTCACTTGGGGGTAATCGAGCTCACCTTGGCAAACATCATTTACTTTGAGATCCCTTAATTCAGGTTTGGAATCATTATAAAATTTGCAAATGTATTGCACCTTTGACATAGACAACCATGGAGTTTCTCGTCAGCTTGATCCGAATCGGAGGCAGCCGACACTGAGATCATGGTTCAATCCGAGCGAGGCATGAAGGCCGCCTGACTGAAGCAGATGTGGGGGCCGTTTAGAGCACGGTGTATCGCCCATGTGTTGTTCTTTGCATGTGCTGTCCCTTGTCTAGCTCCCCCAGTAGTGCCCTTTTACCTTTTTGTTGGGGAATGTTCACTAGAGAAACAAGGACACCCTGATTCCAACCTCTCTACTGGAGGACCTAGTTGTGCAGTTGCATGCGTTGGATGATGAAGCAATAGTCCTGAGCAATCATATACACAGCCAGTTTCATGTACATATACCAAATGCAGCACACCCTTGCAGCGAGTGGGAGATGGGCAGAGGCAGACGTTTCTGAAGGGACTTTCACAGAATCCAAAGCATGAGGTTCGCAACTTGTCGAAAGGACCCTGCTTGCATAAACTGTACTGTTTCCAGACTTTCTCCTGAGTTCCATGAGGTTCACAAATCATTGCATTTGCCTCGGGACAGCGGGTCAGACCTGGGCTGTGGACGTGTTCTCACAAGCAGCGCTGGATAAGCTGGGTACTTTCACAGAAGCGGCGATGTATCATTTTAAAGTGTACTTTGGTATTCTATTAGCCCTATTTGGAGCTTGTTTGCAGGGCGCTGCTGCAATTTTGATGTGTGTTAGCTTTGAATGGCTAGTTCTCCATGGAAGGGAGGAATCGCAAAATGGTAAGTGCTTTTCGTTCCGTGGAACCCACGAAACCACACTACCCATTGTCCTCGCATGGGTCACAAGGAGACACATGTGAACTGAGATTTGCTCCGCAGAGTAGCATGGAACCCCGCAAAGATTCATTTTTTAGAGGAACCTCCCACATCAGCTTTAGAGACTGATCTACTGGAAGGTCAATTTCGGTGTTGACCCATTGACCCTCACTAGTCCTCAATTTGCGTTACATCTAGCCACCGTTGGGCCATTGACCCATTGACCCTCTTGGTTTTTTTTGGGATGGAGGAACCCCTCCCATTTTAGAAAAGTTAAAGAAAACTACAATTAGGCCAACCCATTGACCCTCTTTTGGTTGGGGGTGGGTGGGTGGGTGTAGGAAGCCGGGCTTCCCTGGAGACAACTGCAGGCCGAGATGAAGGAGCTGCGCGACGCTGTGTCGGGCCAAGCGCAGAAGGTGCAGGCGGAAGGGGCATCGAAACTCCGAAGCAACGCAACATGAGGCTGTGGGTCAAAAATAGGGTAACCCCAGAATGGCCCTGGTAAGTCTATTTCCTGTTGGTTTATTTTTGACCCACACCCATGATTCACTTCCCCAGTTCGGACTCTAAACACTTTTTTTGCGACGACCATTTTAGTGATAAATAACAAGTTTGAGCCACCCCCCACAATGTCTTTGGTTTTCCGCTTGGCTTTCCGTTTAAAAGCACCAAAGAAGGGTACCTTGAGGAAAAAGGACATGTTGAGGGTGCCCACATTTTGAGAACTATATGTACCATGGCCCCATGGCCCAAGTTTTTCCTACTTGGGATTGCCCTAACACATGGCCCAAGTTTTCCCTTGGGATTGCCCCAACAGTACAGGATGCCTTTTATGCCAAGCTTGTCCCCCACGCTTCGGGCCAAATCGGAGCCTTGTGATCCGAGAGATGAGAGACTTCGAAGCGGCAGGCCCTGAATCAGCTCCTCACCTCGGATGAAGATGAGGACTGCTTTGAGCAACTCTTCTGTTTGCTCGGTTTGTATCTTTGTTATGTGTCACATGTTCTTTTTGGTGGATCGGTAGGATCATACCTTCCCTCAAGCTATGCTGGAAAGCAGTAACATAAAGCCACTATGGAGGTCACTGAAATATTTTTGGAGGCCAAACCTGTCATTTTTGGAAGTTGGATGTTGGGTTTCTCTAAACACTGAGAACCCTGGGGTTTTCCTTGACATCCAAAGCAGATTGGCGTCCTTGCTTCTGCCCGGGGAGTCGGGGAGTTCTTTTGCCTGGGGCGTGTCACGGCTGATTACGGAACAGGGGCGATTTAGTTCCGACAGGTTCCCTTCGCCTACCTTGCGACACGTTTGAGACCAGACAACTTGGTTGGTGAGAGGGTGCTCGATGTGGTGACTCGAGTAAACTTTGCTCGACATTGGTGGCTGGAATTTGTTTTCTCAACATGTGGAACGGGCAGGTGATCAGCTAATTAAGGCTGCCTTTCCAGTTCCTGGACGTTATAGTGTTTGGGAAGATCTGGTGATGGGAAGCAACATGCTCCCAGTCTTGGCTGATACACTCAGGGATAGGGCAAACACAGGCCGCACACGCGATATTCAATTTCTCGTCCACTGCATTGAGGACGCCAATCAAGCTCCTTGTTTGACAGGAAATCGGGAGGTTGAATGACCAGGACAGTCGCCGGATTCTAGCTAGCAACGTGCTTGCAAGCTGATTTTGTTTAGCAACTTGCAGTGGCCGAGTTGTTTGAACAACCAGGAGGCACCGCTCTGCAACAGAAAGCGACCCGAGCAGTACACACCCACCCACCATCCAGCCATCATTCCTTCCAAGCAACCAGCCAAGCAAGCAAGCAAGAGCGCAGAGAAATCTATAGCCTGGAGGACAAGAAGAAAAAGAAGAAGAAGGGAGCTTAAGGCGCCGAAGGAGGCACGGACCGACAGCGAGAGCTGGAAGAGTGAAAGTGCACAAGGCGGATGCCTCCCTGCAGAGCACTTCACTCCAGAAAAAAGGTTTTCCAAGAAACACCTCCTCCACAAATGTGTGTTGTTGGGGGGTCGGTGTTAATCTGCAAGAGAGCATGTGCGCAGGAGTTCTTTTGAATTTTGGGTCAGTTTGGTTGAAAACGGATCCAATCAGGCACCAGTGCAATGGTTTGTATCCAGAAGCATGCCCAAGTGTGTGTTGCTGTGGTCAATTCACAAGCGGCTTTTATGCTGGGTGGTTCCACCAGGCTTTCAGACTTCAGCTAGCAAACAGGCGCAAAGCCCTGCGGATTTTCCGGGACCCTTATATGGGTGTGTTCTGTTGAAGGCTACTTTTTTTTTTTTTGGGGGGGGGGTGCAAGGGACACCAAAAGGAAATCCACAAATTTGTGTTATTTTTGGGCTGGGGGTGTTCTCTTTGTTAGGGGCTTCCCTTTTAAGTCAACTCCCAAACAAAGGTCCAGGTGGCGCCTTTTTCTCTTCAACTCCCAAACAAAGGCGTGTGTATTTGTGTGCTTTCCTGTGTTTTTCCCTGTTTTCCTTTGTTTTCCCTCTGCTTCCCCCATGCTTCCTGGAGGTCTATGCACGCTGAGCACTGCACCACTCAGCTCCGAGCTAGGACGACGGGTGCGCCAAAAGGCGGAGTAGCGAGCAGCGAGTCTGAGCCATGGGATGGGTTCAGGACCTCAATTTGTGTGGCTAGAAAAGAAGGCCCTCCAATGTCCAAGATCCTTAAAATTCCAAGGCGACAATCTTTACACGACCCTAAGCATTTATTTTGTTCTTTGCCTATTCCCATGGCGCTTCCACACACCAAAGACCCGCCAGTGTCACCAAAAGGCGGTGTGTGTGGTGCATGCGAAGGCGCCGTCCACTCGACATTGCGCGGCCAAGAGAGCGCGCCGATGTGCGAGGTGACCAAAACGCGACGCGTTTGAGAGTGCCTTGAGCCCTGCGACTTTAAGCCCGAATCCAATGGGTACTCTCTTGGATGTTGCTTTTGCTTTCTGTATATAGGGAAAGCCAAAGGAAACCTGCCCCAGCAACAATCAGCAAGACTAGTATGGTCATTCCTTGCAGAAGTATGTTGCAGCAAGGCGGCCGCGCTGAATTGTGGAAATGAGTACGAGCACGGACCTGACTCAGATGTACAGCCAAGAAGTACTAACAAGATCTCTAAATGATGCATCAGATAATGATGGCATGCACGTGGGATGTCCCATGTGGGAACCAATCATGTCGAGATCATGTGTGTGTGATTCCTGCATCATATTCCTGCGGTGTGTCATTTGCGCGGCAGGCCCTTTCCTGGACTTGGTTACGAGTACAGCATGCAGGGCACAATGACAATCATGACAGGGATATCGCTGCAATTAAACAACAAGCTTTGCGGAAAGACTTACGGGGTGGACATCTTCTGCCACGCGACGTGACCATGACCATGGCATCCCCCCAGAACATCAGGTGGCCTGGACAAAGCCTGGAATCCAAGAGACCTCTTAAGCTGAGCTCTCTTGTGTATGCTCAAATCGCTAATTCTTGCAATCTCCTTTTGGTTTCCCAAACTGGACGAGGGTTCTCTCGTCGGATTTTGCCAAACCCTCACCGCTTGCGGCAGGCCTCCGATCTGCAGCTTGCTCTGGGCGCTGATGCGCCTTCGCCCAGCGCCGACGCGCGCTCGCGCTCGCCCAGAAGCACGCAAAGTCGCGAAGGGGGAGAAAGGTACAGCGGACATACGACGTATTGGTTTGTGACAGGCGCGGAGTGGTACCAATGTGTATACATATACATATATATATATATAATGGTGCTTAGTTTTCATTCGTCTGGTGAAGGGAGTTATGGGATATGTGTTGCAGGGGAGACTTCATACTGAGTAGGAGCATCCCCACCCTCTTGAAAAGGGAATTGGGGGAGGGGGGATTTGTGGCAACCTGCTTCCCCTTCGAGGGGAAGACTAAATAAACGGAGTTGGGTCCGGGCCCCCGACCCCTCCCCTTAAGGTGTGCTCACTGGTCACTTATCATTGATGTTGATATCCGTAGATCACGGGAATTTTGCGAGAATGTAATAACGTCATGGGAACCAACCACTGTGGTATCACGAAGAGGGTTATGTCCCACCCTTGTTTCGCTTTTTCTTCGGTGGCGCAAGGGCCTGAATGCCCGCCAAAGATGGACACCATGTTCGTTGAATCACTCGCCTTTCGGGAAGCAACCTAGCATCAGCTGGAAAGACTCTGCTGCGCTAAAAATCGGGCCTGCGAGGGCTACAAGTAAGTAGCAGGATGTGGGTGTGGTACCCCTAAAATGGAGGCCTTCATGTTGGTTTCCCTTCAAACCAGCCTGAACAGGGTAGCCCCAACAAACACAAAGCCGTATGACAGAACTGGGCCAGCGACTCGGTTTCTGGGCTCAACATGTCTTGATCTTTGTTGATCTGCTTGGTTATATCCTTTTGGATGATCGATCATTGAGCCTTTTCTTGGGCATCAATATTTGAAGGTCCCCTTGTTTGCTGGCTTTAAAGGGACACCAAAAGGAAAGCCCCATGTTTTTCCTTGGTGCGGGGGTTCCGCCAAAATAGACGAGCCACCCATTTGCGCAGATTGGTCGACCCAGGGCTTTGGAGTTAAACTCGGGTACGTGGCCGACCTGCGTCACTTTGAAGCCATGAGAGGCATTATTCGTATTTACCAGGGAATCGAATCATTCCAGGGTTTTTTGTTCTTGAGGATTCCTGATATCTGCGAACCAGAGTTATTAGAGTATCTCTCAAGTGGACCATTCTGTATCCAGCCCATTCCAATTGAGCCACACTCCAAACAGAGACACCCAATACCTGGCTGAGTCTCATTGGAACTCGCGGACGGCAGGCTCAAGCATACACTGGTAGTTGAACAAGAACCCAAGAAAGGCCAAAACAGCATGATGAGCCCCAAAGCATTGAGGATACTTCGTAATATATACATATATGTATACATACATATATATATATATACATATGATACACACACAACAAAAAACATATGCCCGGTAAGGTGACGTGGCCATGTCGGAGGGAGAGATCTTATGCCTGTTGTATGATGATCTCAGCATGAAGCGGTTGACTCAGACAGGTATTCCGCGGGCTTGAGGTGTTGGCAGTTGAAGTGTTGCGCAACTCGGCAAGTCCAGCAGTTCGAGCTGATGGTCACAGCGCCGCAAACAGGCAAGAAGGTCCCCAAGTCAATCACCTTCCCTGTCTTGGTGTATGGCCAAACATTGCTTGAGCCACTGATTTGCTTAGGGTTTTCCGAAAAACCGCAAAACAAGAACAGAACTACAAAGCCCCCCTCTAGTCAAGAAGCCCACAAGTTTGGGGAATGGCTGGCGTTCATTCTCCGAAACTCCGATGACCGGAACCCATGGCTTCTTGATGCCATGCCAGGCTTGAGTGGGATGCGGCTGGCCGGGTGGGGGGTGTCTCTTTGTCTTGGGAGTACCCTTGGTTCGGGCGGTTTTGAAGCAGCACCACAAGGGAAACCAAGTTTTCTGTTTTCTTTCTTTCGTGTTTTTTTTGGTTTTGGGGGGGGGGGGGTTGGCGGGGTCCCCCCCAAAAATCATGCACCTGCAAAGGTGTGTGCAAAGCAAACAGTGGCAGTGGGGCGCAGTGAGGCCCGAAAAACCGCTCTGCAGACACGGCAACCGATCCGCAAAGCGACCAGTCTCGCAGCCACATCCAGTTCCGACTTTTCGTTTGGCAATCTCCACAGGAACTGAGTTAGTCACGGAAAACCATGCAGAACCAAATCTCAAAAGGGTGGCTCGATTCCGTTTTTAGGAATCGGACCCCATGGCGCAACGGGTTTCCTTTTGATGTCCATTCAAACCACAAGAAAAAGGGTACCCTCTCAAAAAGAAGCACCCTCCTGGACCCACCATAGACTTTGAGTGAGTTATGTGGAGTTATGTATAATTACCCATTCACCAGGACCGGGCGCTATATGGGCCGCGGGCTCAACTGAAGCCTTCGGCTGTGTCGAAAGCGTCTTGCTGACGGTCTCGGAATATGATTTGGGTGCGTCTTTTTTGAGGGTACCCACCTTTTCGGTTGGTTTGAAGGGGAAACGTTGAAAGGAAACCCAGCCTATGTGCTCGGTTGGAAGGGTTCCTGCCGCTTTTTGTCCCCTTGTCTCCGCTTGTCTCATATATGTGCTCCACTCCCTATGTAACACCAAAAGTTTCACATGCAGAGGCGTGTCGTATAGCTGCAGACACTCCAACCAACAGCACGATGGCTCCCTTGTTGTTTGGCAATGATCATTCGGAAGGTTTCGTTTAAGGGCAGGATCAGTGGCCCGGAAACGCTGCCCGCGAATATGCTCAGCAAGCAACCAATTTGGTCCATATTGATGAGTTGTTTGATTATTCGCTTCATTGTCTCCATTTAAATTACACAATTTGCTAAAAACAGAGTGTTTTTTTGAATACATGTAGTAAACAAATGCAAACACTGATGGTTTTTGCTAACTTTTTACAATTTGCTAACTTTTTACAATTATCGGAATGCGACCGCGTAACGGACTACGTTTTGCTCTAGATAAACAAAAATGAAGAAGGAACAAAAACACATACACAAATACTGTTCAAGAGGCTGGCCAAGTCTTTGCTAAGTGCACTGACTGCTAGAATCACATTGGATATTGATAGCCCACAATGTTGCTGGGTGATATAGGGGGTTGGTTTCAGTTTTGACCAATCACCTGGTTGTCACGGGTGAACGGGCAGTATTGGATAAACCTGCCCCCTTTCCTGCCTTACGGGTGTGGTTGTGGCTTTGTACCGGCGTGAGGGATCATGCCGGGCAGAGCCTGTGGGGAGGTGTAGCATCTCAAGGATGTCACGCTGTGTTGCCCTTATGCCGGCCAGCCATGGAATTTGATTTCACGGCTGGTGCGGGTGGCGGGCCTGACTAGAGTGTTGCACCGCCCTTCCCCGCACTGCACGAAAGATGGGGCAGCGGCGCGTTGAACTTCAACCGGAGTCGTCCTCATGACGCTTGCGGAGGGACGGCTGCGATGGCAGGAGGGACCGTGCTGTAAGGCCGCGCACCCCGGGTCGTTCCATCCATCCATCCATCCATCCATCCATCCATCCATCCATCCATCCATCCATCCATCCATCCATCCATCCATCCATCCATCCATCCATCCATCCTATTGGGCACCTGGACCTGTTGAAAGCCATGGTTCGCTCCTCATCTTGATGTAAAACGTAGCCCATCTTCTTCAGAAAACATGGCGACCTCCCCACCTATCCATCCCCCGCGCGAAACATTTCCCCACTGAGGCGCTGGTTCTGCTCTTCGCGCCAGGACGGGTCTGTAGTTTGCGGTTACAAACGTTTTACCAATGCCTGGTGGTGCACCCGCATTCTGAATGCCTGGTGGAGGGGTTTGCTCGCAAGAAGTGAAGGAGCCCTTCCCAAATGGGAGAATCGACCAGGGTTATTCATCCTGTGTTCCTGTGAGCAGCAATCCAGTTCGCTCCAAGCCCATTGTCTACATTGTCTAAGAGACGCCGACGGAATCGTTCAAGGCAAACTCTATTTGCGAGGATACATAAGTCTGGTTTGGCACACCTCCAGACTACATGCTTTGCGACTCCCCGCCCACCAACTAGCACGGCATGCCGGAGGATCATTTGAAATCATTTGATCTTCCAATTAGCCTCCAACAAAGGCTGCCCCCAACAGCCAGCGCCCATATTTCATGGTACATGTTGAACAAATCTGTGTTCTCATAGTAACTAGCTCTTGTATAGTCAGGTGACACCATGCCCTCAAAAAACTAGGTACTGGATGTAAGGGTGTAGGGGGTATGTTAGGTGGAGGATACTCACCTTCTGCCGCCGAGCTGATCGGAACCATCGCTTGCAACGTTGCAGGGCCCAGTTTCCACTGGCCGCTCCGTTGTGCCAGCGCCTTAACCGATCTCTCTGCCGGTTACGGCCATGGGCGCCACCGGCCGATTCGGGTCGACGATCCGGTTAGTAAGGGATAGTCCCGACTCAGAAATAGCTGCGGAGATCCGCCTTTTGGATTTTTGTTGCATGGTTCTGGGTAGATCATTTTATTGCCGGGGTTGGTTGTTGTTGCGTCCGCTGGTGCTTGCCTCAACTGGCTTTTTTTGCGAGACGCAAACCCTCTTAGCACCAGCTGCTCCTGGCATTTTGCCAGCGGAGTTGCAGAGTCGTGTCTGGAATTGCTTATGGAACTAAAGCTTGTTTTAGGGTTCAGTAAATTGGTGGCTCGACGTTTTTAAGGTTGGACCACCCAATTTGGGTTGTGTTCATCTTGGTTTCCGTTCAATTCTCCAAAAGAGGTGGGTTCCATATTAGTTAATACCAGTGCACAGGAGGGTACCCAAAATGGCACCTTGAATCGGAAACAAAGACTAAAATCCTTCGTAGCCGTCTCATCTTGAGCCATACCCATTTGTTGGAAGGGTAGTTGCGCTAGCCCACCCGAAAGATCCGGGCAAACGAAGCCGATCGACCTCACAACAATTAGGTGTGTATGTGTATAACAGGCAGACATAGACAGAGAGAGAGAGAGACAGACACAGACAGGCAGACAGGCCACAGGCATATATACAAGCAGTCCTATAGGAAATCTATAGCACCACTAGCAAGGCAGGCATATGTACAAGCAGGCTTAGGAAGTCTTAGCACCACTAACGCGCAGCTTCTCATGATAGTCGATGCTTCTGAAACTGTCGCGCCCCATTCCGTGACAGTTGCAAGTTGCAACTGAGAAGCAACTAGACCGCTTTGCTTGTCAGGTCCGTAGGGTTCTGGGCATATCATAACGACCTCACCTGCAAATAAAACGAAATCGCCCATGATGATGGTCCCTTGTTCAGGAATTCCTTGCTTTAGGTTGGTTAATTGTGGCACGACTTGCCATTTTTGGTTGCTAACAATTGAGATGCTAAGGGTCCGCCATCTACCAGTCAGCTAACCTAGTGGCACTGACTACAGAGGTGGCCTTAGATCATTTGCAGGTGCAAAAGCTCTGTCCTGGTCATGGCGGAATGTAGGAGCATCAATCGATCTTGAGTAGCATCCTTGGCAAGATCCATCATATCATAATGCATTAGTGTGCACTTCTCCAGTAAGGCCCGTTTTCCCCTCTCCTTGTTGTTGCGACCTTTTCTATTCTCAGGGAACCCCAAACAGGTCCTAAGAAATGTGCTTCGATCGCTTGCACCAAAGGACCACCGATCCTGAAAAGCTGCTTCTTCGAACCCACTCAACATGTCCAATCTGAAGCCCTTGGTTTGGCTTCCATCCGTCGCTTCGTTTGTTCCTTTGAGATACCAAAGCTGGTACTCTTTGGTTGCCAAATGGGTTCCCCGTGGTTTTCCTTTGGCTTATCCCCAACAAAGGCCGTCTCCTCCCCCAAGACACCCCACAGGCACTGGCCGAAGGTCCGGGCCTCGGAAGTCTGGCTCCCCCAGCCGTGGGTCACGTCACTTCAGTTCCCCAGTGAGCTTCACCCGTTGTTCCTTGTTTTGTGGGGGAGGGGCAAGGGTTGCCCTTCAAAATTCATCAACCAAAGAAAAAGAAGGTGCCCTTTGTCCAGAAGCCACGGGGGCTTCTGAGCTTTGGCTTGTGTTGAGGTGCTGTTTGTTTCAAAGCTTGGCTTGGACCTCAAACCCTTTTGGATGGTTTTGTTGGAGAAGTTGCAGCGTACCCTGGCCCTTAGAAAGAGAGGAACGCTGAACAAATCAGAGCAACACCAGCCGATATGTTGCATCGTATGTTCAGTCCTGAAATGATTTTTTGTTGCTGGGCCTGCTTTGCGTTGTGCTGATCAGTGGATCAGTGCAGCATCTTTAGTACGTGTTGCATTTCAAGCTCTTTGAGAGCTGCGTCATGACAATGCAAGCAGACTCCTGCAAGCAGACTCTATGTAGACTTGCACCTTTGGGCGGTTCACAATAAAATGGGTGTGGCTCAAAATCAAACAGGAGGGGTTACGCAGGTTTTGGTCCATGTTTTTACTTGCCAGGGTTCCATTTTGGTACCGGTTTTTTGAGCCACAGCCACATCAACCGTCCACTATGCGAGATATTGGAAGCAATTCGTGGCATGGATAGCTTGACTTGACATGTTGACCAGGGATTCCTGAATTGGTGGCTTGGTTTGGCATTGGGTGCTGAACTGGTTGTCCAAGTCTGGGAGAGCCAACTTTGCACGCGTTTTTGCTCAGGGTGAGAGCAGATATATTTCCATGAGCGCTGTTAGGCGTAGATTTTCTCACGCCTTTTACTTGCATCTCACCCCTTTTACACCGTGCGCGTAGTTGGGTGTGCCTTTTTGAAGGGGTCCCCCCCCAACAAAAAACAAAAACTTGCTGGTTGTCCTGTTGGTTTGGAAGTCCTCATAGTGTTTGTTGGAAGGCCCGCCGTAGCCCGTTGTCTTGAGGCAAACCTTACCGGGGACCGGCCATAGACTCTCAATGCATAGCCCTCCGGTTGAGAATTCAGTCCTTGCGCTAAGTGAGCTGGTAGCAGGCAACCATCGGAGCGTGATGGTGTCCATCTAGATTCCTGTATTATTTGTGGAAGCCGTTGGCTGTTTTCAGGTGCGGATGAGCTGAATGTTCTGGGGGGCGGTACCATGTTTGAATCATATGAACAATATCAGGTCCGGCCCTTGTCCATGGTTGTGTGTTGGTCATACTGAATGTTAGTTATATGGCTGAATGTTGCTTACATGCCTGAATGTTGGTTATATGGCTGAATGTTGGTTATATGAGCCCAGAATGTTGGTCGGTTCACGTTGGAACCATGTGCCGGATTGACTTCATGCAAGCCGTTGTTGGTTATATGTTGGTTATATATGGGTTGTATGTTGGTTGTATGTTGGTTATATGTTGGTTATGTGTTGACTATATGTTGGTTATATGTTTTGTGTTGGTTATATGTTGGTTAAATGTTATATGTTATGTTGGCTATATGTGGGCTATATGCCTGAATGTTAGTTATACGAGCCTAGAATACACAAATATGTGGGTTATATGTTTGAATCGCCCGACCAAAGTGTGTGATTTGCAGACCCTCTGCTCCATGATCCCGACGGGCTTTTGGAGCGAAGCTTGCAGGCGAGATCCCCGGAGAGTGAGAGGGAGGGGCTCCGATCCCTAAACGGCGAACTAGATTTTAGGGTTAACCAAATATGAAGAAAAAAAACAGAATCTGCCCTTTCTGTAGCCCAGATGTGGGCCAGGGAGAGAGAGAGAGAGAGAAAGCGAGAAGTCTGGACAATTGAAAAACACGGGGTCCTTTGACTACATCTCCGTGCTAAATAGCAGGGGATAGACGGTCCATAAGAGCACGTGGTGTCTTTCCCCGGTTCATAACTTTGATTTTCCCAACAGACCACAAAGGGGGATAGTTATTGGTTTTATTTTGCAGACCTAGACGGTGGTATGGAGTAGCGCGATGTTACTCGGACAACGTGAGCCCAACCAGACCTTCAAAGTTGGGGCCCGGGAACCATCGGGACTGCTCAAGCCTTCCCGCGGAGGCCACAAACCGGTCCGGCTATTTTTGCAGACCTTGCAAGTAGAGAAGGCAGGTTGAGCCTATTGGTTTTGTAGGTTTGTATTGGTTTTGGGTAGGGGTTTTGTAATTTGACACGAACCACCCCTATGTCGTGGCATGTGCAGAGGCTCAGTGCGAATTCTGCAAGAACTTACAGGCAGAAAATGCCGGTAGCCTATTCTATGACTTCCCCCCCACTCCCCACAAGTATCCATATGAGCAAGGTTCAAAACCACTTTGCATTGGAATTGAAGGGGGGTGGTCATAAGGGCCGCCCGAGTAAGGCAAACATGTGCCGGCGTAAGGCCGCGTAAGTGTGCTGCGCAAGTGCAAGTCCGGACCCCCTGAAAATTGCTCCTTGATGATGTCTCAGGGTTTGCCAAACGTTGGAACCCAACCCTCCTTGTTGCTGAGCGGGTTTTCCATTTACCCTGCGCAAGAACCAGGGAGCCACCAACTAAGGGTTACCTGAAATTTAGTGGTACTTGACATCACAGCTTACTTGGATGTTCGGCCAAGCGGTAGATGGCTGTGTGTCAAAATAGGGCCAAATGGAATTTTGGTAAATGGAAACATAGACTCAAAGCTGCGGTCTCCAGAGTGCAAGTCCTGTCCTGCAGGCTGATACGGAAATCTTGCCGCTGCTGCGGTCCTTCCAGTCCAAGATGAGCGGCCCGCACCTGGGCCAGGCGCGAGCGACGAGTTGAGTTGAGTTGGTGCTGGAACGAGTTTGGCCCAAAACACTGATTATGTGTTTTGGTTGCTTGCTTGCTTGCTTGCTTGGTTGGTTGGTTGGTTGGTTGCTTGGTTGCTTGCTTGCTTGCTTGCTTGCTTGGTTGGTTGGTTGGTTGGTTGGTTGGCTGGTTGGTTGGTGTGTGTGTGTGTGCGTGTGTGTTTGTTTGGTTGCTTGCTTGCTTGCTTGCTTGGTTGGTTGGTTGGTGTGTGTGTTTTTGTTTGTTTGTTTGTTTGTTTGGTTGGTTGCTTGCTTGCTTGCTTGCTTGCTTGGTTGGTTGGTTGGTTGGTGTGTGTGTTTTTGTTTGTTTGTTTGTTTGTTTGTTTGTTTGTTTGTTTGTTTGTTTGTTTGCGTGTTTGCGTGTTTGCATGTTTGTGTGTTTGTGTGTTTGTGTTTTGTTTGTTTGTTTGTTTGTTTGTTTGTTTGTTTGTTTGCGTGTTGCGTGTTGCATGTTTGTGTGTTTGTGTGTTTGTGTGTTTGTTTGTGTTGTTTGTTTGTTTGTTTGTTTGTTTGTTTGTTTGTTTGTTTGTTTGTTTGTTTGTTTGTTTGTTTGTTTGTTTGTTTGTTTGTGTTTGCGTGTTTGCGTGTTTGTGTGTTTGTGTGTTTGTGTGTTTGTGTGTTTGTTTGTTTGGTTTGTTTGTTTGTTTGTTTGCGTGTTTGCGTGTTTGCATGTTTGTGTGTTTGTGTTTTGTGTGTTTGTTTGTTTGTTTGTTTGTTTGTTTGTTTGCGTGTTTGCGTGTTTGCATGTTGTGTGTGTTTGTGTGTTTGTGTGTTTGTGTGTTTGTTGTTCGTTTGTTTGTTTGTTTTGTTTGTTTGTTTGTTTGTTTTGTTTGTTTGTTTTGTTTGGTGTTGCGTGTTTGCATGTTGTGTGTTTGTGTGTTTGTTTTGTTTGTTTGTTTGTTTGGTTTGTTTGTTTGTTTGTTTGTTTGTTTGCGTGTTTGCGTGTTTCATGTTTGTGTGTTTTGTGTGTTTGTGTGTTTGTTTGTTTGTTTGTTTGTTTGTTTTTGTTTGCGTGTTTGCGTGTTTGCATGTTTGTGTGTTTGTGTGTTTGTGTGTTTGTTTGTTTGTTTGTTTGTTTGTTTGTTTGTTTGTTTGCGTGTTTGCGTGTTTGCATGTTTGTGTGTTTGTGTGTTTGTGTGTGTGTTTGTTTGTTTGTTTGTTTGTTTGTTTGTTTGTTTGTTTGCGTGTTTGCGTGTTTGCGTGTTTGCATGTTTGTGTGTTTGTGTGTTTGTGTGTTTGTTTGTTTGTTTGTTTGTTTGTTTGCGTGTTTGCGTGTTTGCGTGTTTGCGTGTTTGCGTGTTTGCATGTTTGTGTGTTTGTGTGTTTGTGTGTTTGTTTGTTTGTTTGTTTGTTTGTTTGTTTGTTTGTTTGTTTGTTTGTTTGCGTGTTTGTTTGTTTGCGGGTTTGCGTGTTTGCATGTTTGTTTGTTTGTTTGTTTGTTTGTTTGTTTGCGTGTTTGCGTGTTTGCATGCTTGTGTGTTTGTGTGTTTGTGTGTTTGTTTGTTTGTTTGTTTGTTTGTTTGTTTGTTTATTTGTTTGTTTGCGTGTTTGCGTGTTTGCATGTTTGTGTGTTTGTGTGTTTGTTTGTTTGTTTGTTTGTTTGTTTGTTTGTTTGCGTGTTTGCGTGTTTGCATGTTTGTGTGTTTGTGTGTTTGTGTGTTTGTGTGTTTGTTTGTTTGTTTGTATTTGTTTGTTTTTGTTTGTTTGTTTTTTTTGCGTGTTTCGTGTTTGCATGTTTGTGTGTTTGTGTGTTTGTGTTTTTGTTTGTTTGTTTGTTTGTTTGTTTGCGTGTGTGCGTGTTTGCATGTTTGTGTGTTTGTGTGTTTGTGTGTTTGTTTGTTTGTTTGTTTGTTTGTTTGTTTGTTTGTTTGTTTGCGTGTTTGCATGTTTGCATGTTTGCATGTTTGTGTGTTTGTGTGTTTGTTTGTTTGTTTGTTTGTTTGTTTGTTTGTTTGTTTGTTTGTTTGTTTGTTTGTTTGTTTGTTTGCGTGTTTGCGTGTTTGCATGTTTGTGTGTTTGTGTGTTTGTGTGTTTGTTTGTTTGTTTGTTTGTTTGTTTGTTTGTTTGTTTGCGTGTTTGCGTGTTGGCGTGTTTGCATGTTTGTGTGTTTGTGTGTTTGTTTGTTTGTTTGTTTGTTTGTTTGTTTGTTTGTTTGTTTGTTTGCGTGTTTGCGTGTTTGCGTGTTTGCATGTTTGTGTGTTTGTGTGTTTGTGTGTTTGTTTGTTTGTGTGTTTGTTTGTTTGTTTGTTTGTTTGTTTGTTTGTTTGTTTGTTTGTTTGTTTGTTTGTTTGTTTGTTTGCGTGTTTGCGTGTTTGCATGTTTGTGTGTTTGTGTGTTTGTTTGTGTGTTTGATTGATTGATTGTTTGTGTGTTTGTGTGTTTTGGTTACCAGTTTTGGGGCGTTGGTGCAAAGGTAATGCCAAAGGAACTCGCTCATTTTGGAGGTTCCTCTATTTTGACATGCCCGAAACAGAGGGTCTCGCTTTGCTGACACGTGGATTGGAAGTCGGCATGAAGCCAACGAATCTGAGGGTGTTCAATTTGCTGGACGCCTTTCAGAATGCAGGTTTCAGCCGGTGCAGTGTCTTCTTTCGTCTCAGGCAAACATGATGAGAGACCTACCTGTCCATCAAAGTTGTGTCAATCTTGACAATGCATGTTTGCTTATATATCCTTGTGATATGCTGCGTTCCTGGGGCATATGCACGATATGGACAGATGAGCTCCAGCCATTTCCGAGACTGAAGGGATGTTGAACAGCAGCATGGAGTAAGGGCTTAAGCTACCACCTCCGCTGGTTTTCCGTTTTCATTGTTGAAACTGCTGCTTGGCGAGTAGGCGGAACAACAACTGTCTGGCGTGCAAAGTGTAGAGCTCATTGGATGGAACCTGCTGGAGTTGTAGAGAAGCGGCCCCTCACTCGTCGACGGCTTATTCCCCAGGTGCACGACAAACTCGGAGAAGCTTGATGACAGGTTCAAACATTCGTGTGTTTTCCCATGCTTTCGCAACGCATGATCTTGCGTTGCATTTGGCATGCTGCCCTCTGACCCATTTGAATCGAGCCGATTGCAGTGGGCGATCCACCTCGGCGTGGCTCTGACTGATGACGTAGCCTCAGGACACCACAGGGTGTTTGACTCATGTCCCGAGTTCCCAAAATTTGGCACATACCTTTTTGTACCTTTTTGGAGAAGCATTTGAGTGGCATCAAGTGAGTTCGCTGAGGGAAAGTGCCTCTTCCACTGGGCCTTGCGGCTGTGCGCCCGCATGTTGGTTTGGCGGATCCTCTTCTGAAACTTGCCTCAAGTCTTGACCCCTCCCAACAAGATTCGGTTGGAATGGGCCTCTGATTGTGTTCCCTCCAGCTTACCTTTCCCCTGACGTCGAATGGACGATGTCTTTCGGACAAACCGACCTTGCTGGGTTTCGTTGCTGAAACCCTAGAAGCACATGCCTAAGGCATGTAGCTAGAACCCACACCCTTGCAGGGACTTGGCGATCCATATCCAACTCAGGAACACCTCCAGAATGGAACAAGAATGAACAAGATAGGTGGGGGATGTACCATGGGACGGGCAATTGAGCAAAAGGCCTGGACGGCAACCAATTGTTTGGAAGGGTCCAACTCGATTTGACAAAGCATGGTAGATCCCAATCTCTTGGAGTTGGAGAACGCCGCTTGCAGCAACTGTTTTTTTCTCTGAAGATCCACTTGACCTATTGCAAGGCCCTTCGTAGCCCACTGAGCGAGTCACCCAGCCTTCGGGATTTGATCGGAACATGGCCCTTCGACCCCCCGCAAGGTGATCCCATGCCGAACTGGGTCCTGAATTGGACACAGAAGGACCTGCCTGGTATACTCGGTTTGTTCGCCCTTTTCTTCATGGCATAAAAAGTCCCCTCCCACCCACAAGCATGACGGTGCAATTATAGATGTCGGGATGCGATCTTCTTCCGGAAAAGGAGCAACTGTGCACCAAGCCGTTTTGGTTATGACCGAGAACCCATTTGATGTTGGGCACACTGAATCATGAATCCGCTCGCTGAGGCCACTGTGGAGCCACTGTCCACGACAGCCCATCGATTGGCACAGGAGCCGGATGTTCTTTGGCCGCCCCTTTCTAAACCCATCAAACACTGGTGCCCTCAAAAAAGACGCCCAAATAGAAGTGACCAAGCAAACAGAGTGCCCGCCTTTTCCAGAGCTGAGCATGGAACAACTTGAAACGGGTCCTCCAGGCGACGTTCCTTCCATTGTTTCCAAGTTGTGGAAGGGAGATGGGTGATTCGACACACACATCTTATGTTGGGCCATCACGTGCTGATAAACAGATTGGGCAAACGTCTCATCAGCGACACAAAAAAAACCAGCAGGTTGTGTTTGTACCCTTTTTGGGCTTACGTTGCATGAAGACCAAACAAAGGGAAACCACTATGTTTCGGGGGGGTTCCTATTTTAAGTGAATTCTTGCCCGTTCAGAACAGCGGGCAAGCGCCTGCGCCAGGACTTAGGTTTCAACAGCAGCCAGCCGGGCTTGCTTTTAGTGCTGCATCCAGCGCCGCTCTCAGGTCGATGGCCGATGCGTTTTGTTTTTAGCAAGCTCTCTATATGGGTAGCTCGTTTGTTTTTGTCTTTCTTTTTTTTTTTCTTTTTCGGGGGGGGAACCCCACAAATTGGTGGGTGTGCCGTTGGTTTTCCTTCAAACACCCACCGAACAAGGGTTATCCTCAACAAAAGACAGACCCATGTCTTCTAATTGAGAAAGCAATGTTGATGGCTCCCATGTACAAATTCACTGTGGACAAGGTATCAGACCCATTCCGAAAATTACCCCCCCACCACCACCACCAGCTCGGTGTCCAATTCCCTGCTCCCGCGTTGCATTTGGTTCAGCTGATGCAGACTTACCGCGCCGAGTCGCACGATTCAACAGATGTCACGTAAAACTGGGTTCTTGCAAGAAATCCGGAAGTCTGCCAGCAACTAGCTGCTTTTTGTGCTCTTGTTCATGCGTTTTGCACAGGCAAACCCTTAGTTGCTGGTTTGGAAATTGTTTTGGGGATTACAAGCTGATTCGCAGTCAAGGGCAAATTCCCAATAGCGCGGCAGCCGTCTCGCAGGAGCCCCGTTGATTAGGCATGCACAGATTCAGCAGGTAAACCTGGGTCAGACATATTCTTAGAAGTTGAAGTCACGGGTGCCCCCAGCCACTTGCACCCACCCCTTTTCCAAACGCCATTTAAGCAGTGTTTTGGGTTCGCTGATTGGCACAATTTCCTCTCAATAGACGGGAAAATTGCGAGATGGAAAGGATGCAATATGCAACACTTGGCCATCATTTTTTATTGGAACTCCCTCTAATCTGGTTGGTGGACATAAATCCCCAAATTTATTTTGCACCATTTGAACGGCTTGAGCGGCTCAGGAACTGGGTCTGGAGGTTGCA